AAGCACCCAGCCCAATGGATGTATCGATCGTATGTGGGGAGAAAGTGTAGGGAGGAGAGAAGGAGCCCTGAGAATGAGGGGCCCTCTATTGTCCCCCAAGCAGAAAAGCAATAATAGCGGATCTTTCAGTTTTTTCATAATCGACTTCGGAGTGGTTGCAGATTGTAAAACATCTCCTCCTCCTCCACTCACTCACATGGCCAAAAGGTTGCCATTCTCGTCGCATTTGAGCCCTCGGTAATACCGCCCCAAGCCATCGTCGGAGCACGAGGCGCCCTTGCGCCAACCGAAGGAGCTTAATATACGCAGTGCGGCCTTGAGGTTGGTGATAGCGGGGACTGGGGGAGAGGGGAGTGGGGGAGGGGGAGGGGAGGGGGGGGATGAGGGGCGGCGAGAGGGGAGGGGGGGGGATTGGATTGAGGGGGTGGGGGGGAGCGGATGGAAGAGCAGGGCTGCAGAAACCACTTGTGAAGGGACACGGCGCTCGCAGTGCTGCCTTGAGCCAGCGATTGCTGGGACTGGGGGGGGGACGGATGGAGGAGGGGGAGGGAGGGGGGCGGGGTGCAGGGCTGCAGAAACCGCTCTAGAAGGAATGCGGCCCCTCGCAGTTCTGCCGTAAGGGTAGCTGGGAGTGCGAGTGACGGATTGAGGAAGGAGGGGCGGAAGGGGGGAATGCTTTGGAAGGGTTATGGCGCTCGCAGTGCTGCCATGAGGGTAGCTGGAATACGAGGGAGGAGGGGGGCAGGGAAGATAGGACGTAGAGGTGGGAAGATGCGAACGAGGGGAGGACGTTCTAGAGGCGGAGGCAGGAAGGAGGCTAGCACACGCAGTGCTGTCTTGAGATTGGCGATTGCCGGGTCGGTGATTGCCGTGTCGGTGATTGCTTAGTTGCCGGAGAACTTGGGCCGAGCGGAAGAGGGGGGCACAAGAAGGGAGGGGCATGAGGGTACGGGGAGGTAGGAAGATGGGAATGAGGGAAAGAAGTAGAGGCAGAAGCGGGAAGGAGCCCCGCGCTACGCATCGTGCTGTCTTGAGGTCGATGAATGCCGGGACTTGGGCCGAGCGGAAGAGAGGACGGGGGGCACAAGAGGGGAGGTGCGTGGGGGTACTCACGGATGGAAGCGTTGAATGGCACGTAGACGGTGGCGGCGGCCGGCGCGGTGAGGAGGGACGGCAGCAGAAACAGCAACACGCGCTGCAGCGGCGGCACCGCTATGGGCGACAGCGCCATGAGCGGCAACGATGGTGGGCGGTGGTGAGCGGTGGTGAGTGGTGAGGAGGGTGGTAGGCGGCGAGGTGTGACAAAGGATTCGGACGGAAACTAGTACTATTGTCGAAGCTTCAATGGAACCCAAAAAACAGCGAAGGTCGGGTTGGCGATGTAACAACCAAGGCTATTATAGTAGGGTCACAAGCAAGGAATGCTCTCCAATCTAAGAATAACCCTAGCTTAACCTTAGAGTAGCCTTGAATTTATTGATGAAGTCTTGAAAGGAGAGGCTTGAGTGAAAAAGTCATTGAGAGAGTTGTTTAGGGGAAGCTGTGAGGAGAGCTCAAATACTATCCCATTTCCAAATTAGATTGTTGAAGTTGGAAAATGGAGAATGAGCTTGGGAAAGCTCAACCCCTCTCTAGACCCTTGGGGAGCTCCAACTCCTCCATGGCAACAAGGTGGAGGAGCTCCTAGAGTTGAGTTGCTTATGTGGCATTTTAGGTTGGGTTGCTACCCATTTGAGAGCAAGTGTGTGGAAGAAAATATTGGATTGAGTTAATTGTAACACCAACTGTCAATCTGTGGTTGGTTGCAGATCCAACCATTGGTTGGCAATGTGTAGACTTGGGAATTCCTAAGCCTCAATAAAAAGGGTTGGAATTTCGAATCCTCATTTGTCTTAGGTTGGGTGGTGAACCACATTGGTACACCCAACCCAACCTTCCCTAGCACAGCTTTGACGCTTGCGACGTAGCGTAGGTCACGCTATGGCGCCCTAGCTAGGTCGCGCCAATTGCGCTAGGTAGATATTATGATGCGTTACACTCCTCCCCCTCCAGGTGGCAACGTCCCCATTGCCTTAGAGGGCTTCATTAGGCGAGTGCTACGAGCACGGCGCACCACATTACGACCAGGATCAACCCCGTCCACTGGTTGTGGGCCTTCTCGTCGAGCCAGGTCTTCCATATAAGATTGAACCGCTGTCTCGGTCAAGTGTTCCTCAGGCTCCCAAGAGTTGTGTTCAGGCCCATAGCATTTCCACTGAATTAGGAACTCACGAATTATCTTGCGGCCGCGTCGTCGATCTCGGTGTGTGAGCACACGTTCGACTTCATAATAGAGTTCCTCCTCGAGGACGATGATTGGTGGTGGTAAGTACTTGCCTTCAGCAACATACTGCTTCAGCAGAGACACCTGGAAGACATGGTGAATCTGCAAAGTCTCAGGTAGCTTAAGTTTATAAGCGACCTCACCAACCCGCTTGATCACCTCGAAAGGCCCAATCCAACGAGGGAACAACTTTCGGCTCCAGGGATCTTGAGACAAATGTTTTTCGTACTCAATCATATTTTGTCGCCAACTGCATAAGCGACTTCCCGACATTTCATATCGACCTAGGACTTTTGCCTCTGCTGGGCAAGTTGCAACCAATGACGAGCGGATTTCAGCGCCGTCTGTTGCTTACCAAGAAAGTCCTTTGCGGCAGGGATTTTTAGACTCTGAATCCCGTGCATCGCAGGGGCTGTGGGATGCCAACCATAATTCATGACAAAGGGCTTTATGTAGTCGGTTGGTCGTATACTGTATGTATACAGTACTAGGGCGGGGGCCACTGCAGTGTCAACTTATATATTATATATATATAGTTGTGTAGGCCTATTGGATGTTCCACAATTGTGGATCCTACTGTAGAGGGTACAACACCCTTCTTGTATCTCTCTCTCTTGTCTAGTCATCTCTCTTTTCTCTCGTCACTTTCCTACCTAGCTAAAACCTCTCGCTATTCGCATGCCTGCCTTAGCTTCTTAACTCCTTTTTATATGGTTTCAGAGCAGGAAGATCCTGTTGAGCCTCCTATTCACACTTCTGCCGTGTACTCTCTCCTCTCCTTTCACTTTCGCGCCGCCGTGGTGGCCTCCATGTGCTGCCTGGCGGCCTCGCCGCATTGCCGCGGCGACCTCGTCGAGCAGCCGTGGCGGCCTCCCCGCACTGCCACGGCGACCTCGGCGTACTGCCGTGGCGGCCTCGTCATGTTGCCATGGTGGCCTCGATGCGTGGCGGCCTCATCGAGCAGCCGTGGCGGCCTATCCGCGCTGCCGCGGCGACCTCGTCGTGCTGCCGTGGCATCGTCGTGCTGCCGCGACGGCTTCGATGCGCCAGCACATGGACGGTTGCGGCTGCGCCAGCGCGCACGGATGGCTGCGGCTGCGCCAGCGCGCACGGACGGCTGCGGCTGCATCAGCGCGCACGGACGGCTTTGGCTGCCCCAGCGCACGGACGGCTGTGGCTGCGCCAGAGCAGGGACGGCTGCGGCTAAGCCAGCGCACGGACGGCAGCAACCAGCGCACTATTTTAGGCGCCAGCGAGCACTCCTGCACGCCAGTCAGGGCATCTCGTTGAAGACACGCTCCCTTCCCTGAGTCTCCCCTCATCCCAGCCAAAGCTGATGGCTCCCTTCCCCGTCGTCGCCGGGCCGTGCCACGCCGCCGGGTGCCACGGGCTTCGCAGTCACCGCCGCCGTGGTCGAAGCCACCGCCGCCGCTGCAAGTGCAGCTGGCTCCGCCGCCACCCGCCACCGCCGCCGCCAATGTCGTCGTCGTAGCCGCCGCTGACGCCATTGCTGTCACCCGCCGCCGATGTCGCCGTTTCGCACGAGGGGTATAAGCCGCAGCCGCTGCAGGACATGGGGGTGCAAGGGCTTGGGGGTGTTGCGTGTGTGGTATGCTAGTGCCTATCAAGGCTAGGGGTGTGGAACTTATATATTTTTTATATATAATTGTGTAGGCTTGTTAGGTGTTCTACAATTGTGAATCCTACTGTAGAGGGTACAGCACCCTTCTTGTATCTCTCTCTCTTGTCTAGTCATCTCTCTTTTCTCCCATCACTTTTCCTACCTAGCTAAAACCTCTAGCTATTCTCATGCCTACCTTAGCTTCTTAGCTCCTTTTAACATGCAGTTCCCCCCTGCGCTGGGTCTGACGCTACCGTACAATGCAATGTCCGCGGCTTGCCATCACAGGTACGGCACGGTATAGTACGGTCCAATAGTCCTTCCCTCTATCTGACACGCGGCTCTGGGGTTCCGCTAGGGCAAAGGAAACTGTAGAGCGCCACACGAGGAGGTGGTTCCGCTTCCGCACTCCCCTCGGGAGGGCGGTCGGCGGCAAAGAAACTGGTGGCAGGCAGCGGCATTGTGTTGGGAAAATGGGCGGAGGAATGCAAGCGCGGAAGTGGAGGGGTGCTTGGGCGGCGGGAGGCGGAGTGCAGCTTGCACAGCGGGAAGCGGAGTGGTGTTTGCGCGGTGGGAAGTGGAGAGGAAGCATCGGAACAGTGCAGTCATTGCTAACTGACAGCCAGCGCGGCAAGAGAAAACGAAAGCGCGTGGAGGGAATGTGTCATAAGAGTGTGTGAGGCACTCGCCGTCCACCGACACGAGTTGAAAATCGAGGAATTGACTTGCGTTGCGATGCGAGCGAGCAGCAGGGCGAGGTGGGGGTTAAGGGTAGACGCGGATAGCGCAACTAGGGGCGCTGCTTGTTTGCCTTGCTGCAGTAGTGCTCGCTTGGTGGAAAGTGGAGCGGCGGAGGCGGGCGGAGGCGAGCGGAGGCAATCGGAGGCGAGCTGAGAGAGGGGGGCGGAGTGAGCGCGCTGCTGCATGCGAAGTATGTGAGCTGGCTTCCGCGGCATGCGCCCTCCATGCCACAACGCACGCAGCCGCCCGTTCAGCTTGCTTGAGAAGCGTGGTTGTCGTCAAAAGCATGATCCGTTTCTGGCACAAGAAGCTAACGACTTCACAACCATCAGAATGTAAGGACATTTAACGTGGGGATACAAGTTCTTCAAACAAATACAAATGATGGTGAGTATTGCCGTTATCAACCCATAAATAAATCTTTGCACTGCGATTGTTGTAACGATGAAATCTCGTGTTTTAGAATGCTTCAGCAGGGAAACCTTGTACTTGTGGTGCACGTGACCCAAGTTCCCTGAGCTCCTCAACCTCCTCCGGAGTTAATGACCATCCCAGTGCCCCAGCAAATTCATCAGCCTGTGCCAACACACACAACCGCACAGAGAAGAATCACGCAACCAAGCACAGTGACACACAATCATGACCTACCACACCTGCTTAACCACCTGCAAATTAGCAGATGCCTGTTGCGCTGGAAGGGAGTAACGGAGCATCAGCAAAATACAAATAGCTCACCTGTGCTCTGTTCTTCGCCCCTGGGATGGGAACAATGTTGCCCTGCACAATAAGCCAGTTCAGTGCCACCTGGAAAGCCGGTGACACACAGAAACGTGGGGGGCATACAGCGATGAAAAGTCATGAACCGGTGTTGCCTTGGACACACAGTTTTGTTCCTCCAGAAAGAAAGGTGATGTCCGCAACAGGGTGCTATTAAACTGAACTCAAGAATGACATGTGTGGACGGATCAAACAAGGAGAGGTCCGAAAATTCTGGCGGCAGCTGCTATTGAGAATGTCAAAACACAGAGCATTGACAGAGGAGGCTGTATTTTGTGCTCATAACTGAGTGTCACAAGCTGTGGATCAAGGCTTAATGCCCTAGACAGTGGCTGGAGACCTATGTGCGTCATATGAGTGGCATACGTGGTGCCCTGTGCTTCGTTCTCTCACCTGTTTTGAGACCTCTGAAAACTCTCTCACCTGTGTTTTGGTTCGCCCGCCGTACTTCTCCCCCAGCTCTGCCATACGTTTAAGAAGAGGCTGGGCCTGACGTCATAGGTGCGGGGCGGAAAGAGGGGCAGAGAAGGAGGATTTGGAAGTGAAACATTACAATGGTTCAGGGTTTGGTGTGGGTTTGGGTTTGGTCTGGTTTGGTTTGAAATACCTTGCAGATACCAGCACATGTAAGAGGCAACTGAAACATTGAAACAACACATGCTAGCACGAGAACCCAGCTCCCCTCCCCTGCCACCATCACCAAGCTCAAGGGCTGGCACCTTTCGGATAAAGTCAGGCGAGTAAGAGTTGGCACGGGGACCCGTGGGGGGCTTCTGGGGAGAGTACTTGCCACTGAGGACACCTGGAGGGAGCAAAGGGGGATGTGCTTTCTCTCTTGGAATTGACAGGGAGGAGCTGGCGCAGCGACCCGTGGGGGGCTTCTGGGGAGAGTACTTGCCACTGAGGACACCTGGAGGGAGCAAAGGGGGATGTGCTTTCTCTCTTGGAATTGACAGGGAGGAGCTGGCGCAGCGACCCGTGGGGGGCTTCTGGGGAGAGTACTTGCCACTGAGGACACCTGGAGGGAGCAAAGGGGGCGTGGAGGTTTGGTGCCAGCGAGGGAGTTCCATCAACTGAAAAACAAAAACAGAGGAGCCAGGGTTTAGTTTTGAGACGTATCAAAACTAGACTACTTAATCAAGGGGGCGTGGAGGTTTGGTGCCAGCAAGTGAGTTCCATCGATCTGAACAGCAGCAACAGAGGAGCCTGGGGTTTTAAGCTGGTGGCAGGCTTAGTAGAGAAGCCAGAATTCTGAGTTTTCGATGAGAGTGACTCCCCGATCCTCACACATCTTCTTCACACGGCCTCCCCACCCCAGCAGCAAACGCCTCTTCAATATAAGGCCCGCATGTAACGAGTCTGTGTTTTAGTAACCCAACGAATGACGGACCTTGGGAGAGGGGGCTGTAGGCAATGAGAGTGACTCCAAGGTCCTCACACGCCTTCTTCACACCGTTGCTCTCAGGGACTCGATACAAGATGTTGTAGTGGACCTGTAGAGAGCACGGGGGGGTATGGAAGGTAGAAGGGGTACAGGGATTATGGGGGGTATGGGGGTTAAAGGGGTGCGGGGATTATGGGGGTTATGGGGGTACGGAGTGTGTGAGGGGAATGGGGAGTATGGAGGGTATGGTGGGTATGGGGGGAATAGGAGATGTGGGGGTTATGGTGGGTATGGTGGGTTCGGGGTGTATTGGGGGCATGGTGATATGACACAAAGGATGATGCACTAAGAGCTACACCTGAGAAACAAAAGAAAAAAAACGCGAAAAACAGACGGGCTAAGAAGCAGCAGGAAACCCTGTGGAATCCACATCATGCCTCTATCATCCCTAGGACCTACCAGAGTATGACCCCGTGGAACCCTCCTCTACAGCCATCAGCAAGAAAAACTAAGGTTGACAGTCAGGTCAAAATGCAAAAGAAGCTACACATTTGTGTATCCAGGCAGCTTATAACGAGGACGGCAGGGTCACCTGGTTGGAGGCAAGGGGCACCCCTCTCTTCGCCAGCTGCTGGTGCGCCTGCTGCAGGCGATCCACTGGAGGAGGGGTGTAAGGGAGTGTGGCACGGTGAAGGGAAAAGACATGTGAGCATACTTAATGCAAGGCTTGGCGAGTTGCTGGTGCGCCAGCTGAAGGCGATCCACTGGAGGAGGGAGAGAGGGGTGGGCAGGGAGAGGCGACAGGGAGGGAGAGGGGAAGGTTGTGGCATGCCTCACTTGGCCAGCTGCAGGCGATCCACAGGAAAAAACCAGAAGGGGGACGGAGGGGAGGGAGGGGGGGAGGGGGAAAGAAGTGAGGGGGGGGGGGAATGGGGGGTTTTGGTGGCCAGGGACAATGCCTGGCTAGCTGCTGATGCGCCTGCTGCAGGCGATCCACCGGAGGAAGAAAGCAGAGGAAATGGTGGGCGAAGGTGGGGGGGAAGGGGGGAACATGGAAGGACGGTTGCATGTGTGTTTTATAGTATGTGGGGAACCCTACTGCCTCCACTATCGTATAACGGATCAGAAGAGAGGTGGAGTGGAGTGAAAGCATAAAATTTCCACTGGGACTATGGTCTCACACTTGTAATTGGAGACCCCTACTGCCTTCACTAGTCCCTTGTCCACACAGTCTGCCAAGCCGTCGATGTAGCCCTCGTTGCCCCACACGCCAGGCCTGAAAAGAGTACAAGGGGAGACACGCAGAGTCAGAAGGGAGCATCAGCAGACACATAGTCAGCTCGATCCCTTCTCCACGCTGTCTGCCAGGCCGTCAATGTGATTCACACGCCTGGCCTGGAGGGAGTGATAGAGGAGCCATGGGATTGAAAAACGAAGGAAGATGTAAAGCAGTTCCACGATTATTGCAGTTCTATCAACTCACCAGTGCAGCTGGTACAGGTCAACGCAGTCAAGCTGCAGGCGTCTCAGAGAATCCTTCACTGCGGTTACCACAGATTCCCGCCCAAAACGCCAGGGCAGGGCGGCAAACTTTGTCGCAACAATGGGTGTCGAATCCCCTGCCTTGCTCTTGGCTGCTCGTTCCTTAATGAACCTGCATGGGAGAGCAGAGGGGGACAGAGAGACGCGTTCCAGGGGCGGCAGAAACAATAGGGTATGGGGGTTAGAGGAGAGCGGCAGGGAAAGAGCAAGGGAAAGGAAAGCGGAGCGCGAATGGGTTAGTACCTGCCAAGTAGTGACTCTGAGTCGTCAGCACCAAACTGCGAAGGAACAGAAGGAGAAGGCAGCAGCTTTAAAAAAGGCATCGCACTAAGTAGGACACGCAGCTAGACAGATGCCGTGTGTTTAACAAAAGGAGGTTAGAGAAAATGAGGCAGTGGATTTTGCGAACATGTGTGCACCTGTTTGGTCCCGTAGACCTCGGCAGTGTCAATGAAGTTGAGCCCAGCGTCCATGGCCGAGTCGAATGCCTGCTTCGCATCGCGCACGTTGCGTTCTGAGGAGCCAAAGAGAGCCAAGGGTAAAGAGGAGCCACGAGTAACGAGGAGACAGTGTTGCTCAGAGGTACCCTCAAGGCTCAGCATGAGTCCCGTACAAACGGGCGCTGATACATGGCAGTGGTTGAAGCTTGTGATCAACTGTGTGTGTGCACCTCATGATCAAATGCGTAGTTAGATGCCGCAGTCGACGATGACAGGCTCACCGTTCCACTCGCCGTCGATTCAGAAGAACTTATCGTTCCACGCCCACGCACCCACGAACCCATGCACCCACGCACCCTCGCACCCACGGTCATATATGTGTGTAAAGCAGAGACCAAGCTCACCGTTCCACTCGCCGTCGTTCCAGAAGAACTTGTCGCCCCACGCCCACGCACCCACACCGATGACCGGCACCTCCACGTCCGTCCTCCCCAGCTTCACCCGCGGTACTTCCGCTGGCGCTACCGTGCTGCTGCTTGCGCCGCTGCTAGCGCCGCCTGATGCAGCGGCCGCGCGAGTTCGCAGGGGGAGCTTGGATGACATGGTTTGGAGCTTGAGTGACGTGGCTGACGGTAGTGTCACACGCTGGCCCTGGAAGTATCAGGAGAGATGCGATAGGGTCCGTTAGCCGCGTGTAGCATTGTAAGCTGACGGTGCTTACATTTTCCACGGAATGTGTCAGTTTAGAGAATGCGTGCGCTTTTAGTGGTTTTGCCTTAGTACCATGAACAGGACAGGAAAACATTTAGGAGGTGCCAGAACTTCGCTGCTTCTTAACGACAATGGTGACGTGGAACTTACAGCAAGGCCTCCAAGTCTTTCCGGGTAAGAAACCAGGATGTATGATATAGAATGGCGTACTTTGCGCTGCTGGTTTCTGACAACGATCGACTTCGAACTTACTGAAAGGCTCTTGACGCCGATTGGAGCGCCTCGAATCGGCTTCACTGAAATTGACATGGAAGGGACAGTAAGCGTCTCCATAGTTGGGAACCACACTGAATACGCGGCGACAGGAGAACCTGGGAAGCTGCGTTTGTGATCACAGCAACCGTTTGCTGTAAGTGCACTAGCGGATACTAGAATCTGAAGATGGCTGGACTTGATTTGCTGGAGTGACAAGTGACCACTATCAAATTCACAGGAACCAACCTTGGGAATGCCGAATTTGGCATCAGGCACTGGGAAATGTTTGCCTTGGGAATTCCAGCAGTGGACCTGTGCCTGCAGTCGAGGGAAGGGGTGTCGAGTGTTCTTCTAACGAGCTGAGTGACGTGGTGGGGCTTGATGGGTTTCCGCGTGTTCGGGTTGCAGATGCGAAGGAGTGGCTCAGTTGCTTCCACGTGGAAATCTAAAAATGGGGAAAATGGGAATAGATCTCGCGCTCTACAGTTTATCGTGTATTGAACGATTCATTTTAAACATTGTGGCATTAGCGGGGCCAACGATGTCAGAAATTTCGAACCCCCGCTTCATGCACTCCGAGGAAAGGCTACAGCAGCATTTGAGAAACTTGTCATTGCTGCTGGGAGTGATAGGTAAAACGAAATCTATGGCGTCACTGAATGCAACTAATGGTGTCCACCTCAGTAGAACATGGATTGATGAGATCCTCGTTTCATGTAGAAGCCAGATATTGGCTGGCGATCAGTCTTAGATAGCTAAGGAGAGCAATCAATTCGAATTCGTGAACTTCCGAGCCTGGCTAGAACGCTGGTGAAGTCCATTTTCGAAATTATCAGATTCGGCGAACTGAATTTCGAGTGTTTCTCGTGACGTCTGTACGCTTGCAAGCAGCGAGCTCAATGATAGCGTGCGAACGCCTCGAAGGTTGCTGGGTAATCATCAGCGATCAGCAAGTCTGAAAACGTCGCTGTGATAGACGCCAGCGAAGATGAAGGCCTCACTAACAACATGTACGATCTCCTGATCGCGATCCACGACCTTCAGTTGATCAGTCGCTACTGAATTCGAGCTCGGTGGTGCTAGTCAGCGTATAAACCGGAGTGGTCTAGCTTGATTCTTCTTTTTCTTCACCCTGCTTCAGTCTTTCGTCAAGTTCGAGGCTATGGATCATTGTAATACAGACACCGAATGTCGGACCCTCACACTCTCGCTGATATTCTGGTCATACAGACTTTTGAGTCGACTCAAAAGTCAGCTCGATATTCCGGTCATGCATCGGTGATCGCAACCCAACCCAAACGCCAAATCCGTTGAATCTCCTATGATTGCTTGCAAGCAGACACGGAGCTGTCGGACCTCACGTCCTCTCTGGCGGATGGCTCGCCGGAGGTTCAGCAAGCAACCGTGGACGCACTCAAGTCCATCGCTGCAGTGTAATCTCCCTCGTCCTAACCCTTCCTGACACCCGACATCTCCTCTTTTGTCTCCTCCTCATCTTCCATCTGTTCGTATTTTTTGCTTTTGAGTCAGCTCAAAAGCGCTCTCTCCTCCTCATCTTCCATCTGTTCGTTTTTTGCTCATGCATCCGCCAAGTATCCCTCCCTCTCACCTGTTCCTGTTGCGTGCCTGCTTTGCACGCAGAAACCCCAAGCTCGTTCTGCTCTTCTGTTCAGAGTTGCTGCAGTCCGGCCAGGTAAGAGAGTGCTGGACCAGTGCAGAAGCGAAATATCAGGCAGTTTCATGCCTATGATGTGCGCCTCTGACTTCAGTTCTGGCCATTCCTGTGCACATCCCTACATTTCTGAGGGCTCTTGCCGTGCTTCTGACCGTTTTTGTTTGCGTCCCTGAACCCATTTCTTTCTTCACCCATTCCCCTGGTCACATCCACTCCATTTTTACACCCTTCCCCCTTACAACACCCTTCCTCCCCACCCTCAGAGCACCAGCCTGTGGTGGTCCCCCCCTCAGCTCCCCCAGCACCACAAGACCAACCTCTTCAATGTCATTGCAGCTGCCATCTGCTCTCTTTCTCGCCAGCACTCTGCAGCTGCAGCAGCAGCAGCAGGCGGCTCAGCAGCAGCAGGTGCAGCAGCAACAGGAGGAGCAGCAGCAGGCGCGGGGGAGGTAGCAAGCACGGGTACAGCGGAAGGTGCAGGACTGAGGCTGGATTCGGACAAGGGAGGGGTGTCAGATCACAGCATGCTGGTACAGAGCATGAAGCTGGCGATAGCAGAGATGCAAGTGGCAGGGAGGTCAGGCACGGGCAGTGCTCAGGTGCGTCTTTCGTGTTGCCTGCCTAAACGAGTGTCGGATCACAGCATGCTGGTGCAGTGTATGAAGCTGGCGATAGCAGAGATGCAAGTGGCAGGGAGGTCAGGCACGGGCAGTGCTCAGGTGCGTCTTTCGTGTTGCCTGCCTAAACGAGTGTCGGATCACAGCATGCTGGTGCAGAGTATGAAGCTGGCGATAGCAGAGATGCAAGTGGCAGGGAGGTCAGGCACCGGCAGTGCTCAGGTGCCATCTCGTCTTCTACAAGATGACTTGTTCCTCCTCTCTTTCTCGGCTCCCTAGACCTCCCATCTCGTTTGGATGTCGCCATGCAACTAAGTATTATGTCACTGTGGCTGTAGCATCTGTGAACACGCGTCTGTGTAACCGTTGATGAGCTCAGTAGCATGTTGGATCTGATGGGGATGTGCTTTTGATGCAGGACATTGGCTCGCCTCTGAACATGGCTGTAGCATCTGTGATCACGGCTGTAGCAGCTGCGTCCACTCCATTGGTAAGTGGACCCATAGGGCATTGGCTTCATGCAATCTGATTACAGCCTGGTGACTTTTGAGTCGACTCAAAAGTGGACCCATAGGGCATTGGCTTCATGCAATCTGATTACAGCCTGGTGACTTTTGAGTCGACTCAAAAGTGGACCCATAGGGCATTGGCTTCATGCAATCTGATTACAGCCTGGTGACTTTTGAGTCGACTCAAAAGTGGACCCATAGGGCATTGGCTTCATGCAATCTGATTACAGCCAGTTTGAAACTCCTTGTCTGCTTGTCTTTGCAACCTAGCACCCATCGTCTGTTGTCTTCCTGTAACCTTGTGTTGTCTGTTTTGTTCTGTACCTTCCATCTGTTTTTCTGCCACTGGGGTTCTGGTAGGCCTCAACAGCATGTTTTGCACCGCTTTCTTCTTGCCTGACACGACACGTGCACAGGTTTTGGAGGAGGTTTTTCGTGCCCCACAGCCGCCACTGCACCTCATTGCAGACGCGTTCGGACAGATGGCAAAGAACCGACGTAAGTGATTCTATAGCATTTTTCGTTCTAGGTCTTCTCGGAATACCTTAGAGTACAGCAGCGAGAGCTCAGCTCCTTCTTTAGCTGTCATTTTGAAATCACGATTACCCTTCCAAGCTTCTCCTCACACGGATCTTTTGAGAATTCTAAAAAGCAGAGCACAACGCCTAGTTTAGCAAATGTTACGAAAGCACGATTACCCTTCAAAGCTTCTCCTCACACGGATCTCCAAAGCGTGTTTTACGATTTTGTCTCTGTCTCCTCACCCCTCCGCTCCCCCTCCCCCTCTCGAACGGTCCTCTCGAACGGTCCTCCCCCTCTCTCCCTCTCCTTCCCTCTCTACTTCTCCAAATTTTCCGTGTCCACGTGCTGGGTTCCGTGCTGTGTGGCCCACTGTCATAAGGAAGATTGTGCCACAGCTGCTGACTGTCACTGAGATGCACAAGGTGTTCTTCCCCTCCTCCTCCCCCCCCACCCCCCTTCCCCCTGCTCCCCTACTCCCCCCTTCCCCATTTCCAGCTGCTATGTTCCCCGCACTGTGGTCCACAGTTCTGAGGAAGATCGTTCCCCAGCTGCTGACTGTCACTGAGAATCACAAACACGCACAATCACGTCTTCCACTCCCTCTCCCCCCCTCCACCCCCCCCCCCCCCCCTCCCCCTCCCCTCCCCATTCCCCCTGTCCAGCTGCTGTGTTCCGTGCTGTGTGGCCCAGTGTTCTGAGGATCGTTCCCCAGCTGCTGACTGTCACTGAGATGCACAAGCATGCACGATCACGTGTTCCACTCCCTCCCCTCCCCCCCCTCCCCTCCCCATTCCCCATGTCCAGCTGCCGTGTTCCGTGCTGTGTGGCCCAGTATTCTGAGGAAGATCGTGCTGTGTCCCGCCAGCCGTGCGGGTGGGCCCCACTGCCCTTTCTCTGAGATGATCGGTCACACCAGCTGCGGACTGTCAGAGATGCACAAGCACGTCTTTGCCGATGGTGAGAGCAAACCACGCACTGACACACCTCCCTTTCTCATTGAAGATGACTCAAGAGTCACATTGTTCCCCAGCTGCGGACTGTCACTGAGATGCACAAGCACGTCTTTGCCGATGGTGAGAGCAAACCACGCACTGACACACCTCCCTTTCTCATTGAAGATGACTCAAGAGTCACATTGTTCCCCAGCTGCGGACTGTCACTGAGATGCACAAGCACGTCTTTGCCGATGGTGAGAGCAAACCACGCACTGACACACCTCCCTTTCTCATTGAAGATGACTCAAGAGTCACATTGTTCCCCAGCTGCGGACTGTCACTGAGATGCACAAGCACGTCTTTGCCGATGGTGAGAGCAAACCACGCACTGACACACCTCCCTTTCTCATTGAAGATGACTCAAGAGTCACATTGTTCCCCAGCTGCGGACTGTCACTGAGATGCACAAGCACGTCTTTGCCGATGGTGAGAGCAAACCACGCACTGACACACCTCCCTTTCTCATTGAAGATGACTCAAGAGTCACATTGTTCCCCAGCTGCGGACTGTCACTGAGATGCACAAGCACGTCTTTGCCGATGGTGAGAGCAACCACGCACTGACACACCTCCCTTTCTCATTGAAGATGACTCAAGAGTCACATTGTTCCCCAGCTGCGGACTGTCACTGAGATGCACAAGCACGTCTTTGCCGATGGTGAGAGCAAACCACCCACTGACACACCTCCCTTTCTCATTGAAGATGACTCAATAGTCACATTGTTCCCCAGCTGCGGACTGTCAGTGAGATGCACAAGCACGTCTTTGCCGATGGTGAGAGAAACCACGCACTGACACACCTCCCTTTCTCATTGAAGATGACTCAAGAGTCACATTGTTCCCCAGCTGCGGACTGTCACTGAGATGCACAAGCACGTCTTTGCCGATGGTGAGAGCAAACCACGCACTGACACACCTCCCTTTCTCATTGAAGATGACTCAAGAGTCACATTGTTCCCCAGCTGCGGACTGTCACTGAGATGCACAAGCACGTCTTTGCCGATGGTGAGAGCAAACCACGCACTGACACACCTCCCTTTCTCATTGAAGATGACTCAAGAGTCACATTGTTCCCCAGCTGCGGACTGTCACTGAGATGCACAAGCACGTCTTTGCCGATGGTGAGAGCAAACCACGCACTGACACACCTCCCTTTCTCATTGAAGATGACTCAAGAGTCACATTGTTCCCCAGCTGCGGACTGTCAGTGAGATGCACAAGCACGTCTTTGCCGATGGTGAGAGCAAACCACGCACTGACACACCTCCCTTTCTCATTGAAGATGACTCAAGAGTCACATTGTTCCCCAGCTGCGGACTGTCACTGAGATGCACAAGCACGTCTTTGCCGATGGTGAGAGCAAACCACCACTGACACACCTCCCTTTCTCATTGAAGATGACTCAATAGTCACATTGTTCCCCAGCTGCGGACTGTCAGTGAGATGCACAAGCACGTCTTTGCCGATGGTGAGAGCAAACCACGCACTGACACACCTCCCTTTCTCATTGAAGATGACTCAAGAGTCACATTGTTCCCCAGCTGCGGACTGTCACTGAGATGCACAAGCACGTCTTTGCCGATGGTGAGAGCAAACCACGCACTGACACACCTCCCTTTCTCATTGAAGATGACTCAAGAGTCACATTGTTCCCCAGCTGCGGACTGTCACTGAGATGCACAAGCACGTCTTTGCCGATGGTGAGAGCAAACCACGCACTGACACACCTCCCTTTCTCATTGAAGATGACTCAAGAGTCACATTGTTCCCCAGCTGCGGACTGTCAGTGAGATGCACAAGCACGTCTTTGCCGATGGTGAGAGCAAACCACGCACTGACACACCTCCCTTTCTCATTGAAGATGACTCAAGAGTCACATTGTTCCCCAGCTGCGGACTGTCAGTGAGATGCACAAGCACGTCTTTGCCGATGGTGAGAGCAAACCACGCACTGACACACCTCCCTTTCTCATTGAAGATGACTCAAGAGTCACATTGTTCCCCAGCTGCGGACTGTCACTGAGATGCACAAGCACGTCTTTGCCGATGGTGAGAGCAAACCACGCACTGACACACCTCCCTTTCTCATTGAAGATGACTCAAGAGTCACATTGTTCCCCAGCTGCGGACTGTCACTGAGATGCACAAGCACGTCTTTGCCGATGGTGAGAGCCAACCACGCACTGACACACCTCCCTTTCTCATTGAAGATGACTCAAGAGTCACATTGTTCCCCAGCTGCGGACTGTCACTGAGATGCACAAGCACGTCTTTGCCGATGGTGAGAGCAAACCACCCACTGACACACCTCCCTTTCTCATTGAAGATGACTCAATAGTCACATTGTTCCCCAGCTGCGGACTGTCAGTGAGATGCACAAGCACGTCTTTGCCGATGGTGAGAGAAAACCACGCACTGACACACCTCCCTTTCTCATTGAAGATGACTCAAGAGTCACATTGTTCCCCAGCTGCGGACTGTCACTGAGATGCACAAGCACGTCTTTGCCGATGGTGAGAGCAAACCACGCACTGACACACCTCCCTTTCTCATTGAAGATGACTCAAGAGTCACATTGTTCCCCAGCTGCGGACTGTCACTGAGATGCACAAGCACGTCTTTGCCGATGGTGAGAGCAAACCACGCACTGACACACCTCCCTTTCTCATTGAAGATGACTCAAGAGTCACATTGTTCCCCAGCTGCGGACTGTCACTGAGATGCACAAGCACGTCTTTGCCGATGGTGAGAGCAAACCACGCACTGACACACCTCCCTTTCTCATTGAAGATGACTCAAGAGTCACATTGTTCCCCAGCTGCGGACTGTCACTGAGATGCACAAGCACGTCTTTGCCGATGGTGAGAGCAAACCACGCACTGACACACCTCCCTTTCTCATTGAAGATGACTCAAGAGTCACATTGTTCCCCAGCTGCGGACTGTCACTGAGATGCACAAGCACGTCTTTGCCGATGGTGAGAGCAAACCACCCACTGACACACCTCCCTTTCTCATTGAAGATGACTCAAGAGTCACATTGTTCCCCAGCTGCGGACTGTCACTGAGATGCACAAGCACGTCTTTGCCGATGGTGAGAGCAAACCACGCACTGACACACCTCCCTTTCTCATTGAAGATGACTCAAGAGTCACATTGTTCCCCAGCTGCGGACTGTCACTGAGATGCACAAGCACGTCTTTGCCGATGGTGAGAGCAAACCACGCACTGACACACCTCCCTTTCTCATTGAAGATGACTCAAGAGTCACATTGTTCCCCAGCTGCGGACTGTCACTGAGATGCACAAGCACGTCTTTGCCGATGGTGAGAGCCAACCACGCACTGACACACCTCCCTTTCTCATTGAAGATGACTCAAGAGTCACATTGTTCCCCAGCTGCGGACTGTCACTGAGATGCACAAGCACGTCTTTGCCGATGGTGAGAGCAAACCACCCACTGACACACCTCCCTTTCTCATTGAAGATGACTCAATAGTCACATTGTTCCCCAGCTGCGGACTGTCAGTGAGATGCACAAGCACGTCTTTGCCGATGGTGAGAGAAAACCACGCACTGACACACCTCCCTTTCTCATTGAAGATGACTCAAGAGTCACATTGTTCCCCAGCTGCGGACTGTCACTGAGATGCACAAGCACGTCTTTGCCGATGGTGAGAGCAAACCACGCACTGACACACCTCCCTTTCTCATTGAAGATGACTCAAGAGTCACATTGTTCCCCAGCTGCGGACTGTCACTGAGATGCACAAGCACGTCTTTGCCGATGGTGAGAGCAAACCACGCACTGACACACCTCCCTTTCTCATTGAAGATGACTCAAGAGTCACATTGTTCCCCAGCTGCGGACTGTCAGTGAGATGCACAAGCACGTCTTTGCCGATGGTGAGAGCAAACCACGCACTGACACACCTCCCTTTCTCATTGAAGATGACTCAAGAGTCACATTGTTCCCCAGCTGCGGACTGTCAGTGAGATGCACAAGCACGTCTTTGCCGATGGTGAGAGCAAACCACGCACTGACACACCTCCCTTTCTCATTGAAGATGACTCAAGAGTCACATTGTTCCCCAGCTGCGGACTGTCACTGAGATGCACAAGCACGTCTTTGCCGATGGTGAGAGCAAACCACGCACTGACACACCTCCCTTTCTCATTGAAGATGACTCAAGAGTCACATTGTTCCCCAGCTGCGGACTGTCACTGAGATGCACAAGCACGTCTTTGCCGATGGTGAGAGCAAACCACGCACTGACACACCTCCCTTTCTCATTGAAGATGACTCAAGAGTCACATTGTTCCCCAGCTGCGGACTGTCACTGAGATGCACAAGCACGTCGTTGCCGATGGTGAGAGCAAACCACGCACTGACACACCTCCCTTTCTCATTGAAGATGACTCAAGAGTCACATTGTTCCCCAGCTGCGGACTGTCACTGAGATGCACAAGCACGTCTTTGCCGATGGTGAGAGCAAACCACCCACTGACACATCTCCCTCTCTCTTCCCGCCTGGCATGCAAAGGCCTTCATGTTTTAGTAGTGCCTCATGTATCAATCAGCCTTTCTTTCACCTGTATTCATTGCAGATGCTGGCCATTTGCACACCACTAGAGAGCACGGCAGAGCTCCCAGTATTCCCACACGTCAACTCCTCCATGCACTTTCCCCCCCTTTTTCCCCCCCCGAGTTGTTTTTTAGAATTCTCAAAAGCACTTTTCCCCCCTTTCCCCCTCCCCGCCGTGTTTTTTACAACTCTCAAAAGCACTTTTCCTCCCCTTTTCCCCTCCCTGCCGTGTTTTGAGTTGAGTCAAACACACCACTAGAGCGCGACATGGCTCCCATGTATTCCCATGAGTGAAGACCTTGGTGTACTCCTCTCCCTTGTTCCCCTCCTCGCCCCCTGTGCCACCTGCCAACCTGCCACTCCAGCCATGAGCCACTGGTGCAGGGCATTCACGCATGGGCAAGGCATGGCTATTGTGCGGGCGTTTCAGGAGAATGGAAGGAGGGAGGGAGGAAGGGGAAGAGATAGGCATGGTGCTTTGGGAGGAGGAGAGGAGGCAGGAGCAAGGGAGGCTAGAGGCGAGGTGAATCCGGAGGGAGGGTCGGGCATTTCTGTCGTGACACCAGCACCGTTGGATTCGTTGAGAAATATTCCTTGGACGGTTGAAGACTGGGAAGAGACTGTGTGAGTTGGGACGTCTGCATCTGGTTTCAGGGTTGAAGTTTGACGGAGATGCAGTCGTACTTCAAGGCTTTCGTGCTGCATTGGGATGCTGTGCGTGCGTCGCTGTCTCTTACAAAATACGTGGTGTGCCATGGGCGGCCCATGGTAACTCTCATCCCACCATGTCCCCCCATCACCATGCCGTTGCCTTGTGATACAAGGTTTGTTTTATAAGGTTCGCCTTGTCTCAAACCAAATCACACCATGTTCCACCATCACCATGCCATTGCCCTGTTATCCCTCTGCACCCTTTCTCTCTCTCCCAGGGCTTTCCTGCAATCTACATTTGACCTCTTTCCGTGGCTCTGGCTCCTCTCTTAAATTTGTATTCGCCTCAAAAAGTGCCACTCGCCCTTTTCCCCCCCGTGCTTCCTGTCACGTCTCTCTCCCAGGGCTCTCCTGCAGTCTGCATTCGACCTTTTCCTGCAGCGATGGCTCCTCTCTTCCTCCACACCGGTAAGCCCCAAACCCTTCAACTTCCTGCCGTTTCTGTGTCCATTTTGCTTTCCCCGTCTAGCCACGGCCAAAGCCATGGCAGAGGTGCCATTTCTGGAGCACTGGAGCTTCTTGTGTTGAGACATAGTAATAGTAAGGAGCTTATTCCCCTGCATCCTCATTTGCCTCTCCACCCCTTCCCCCCACTCCCTCTTCCCCCCCCTTCTTTTTCCTCCCTGCAAGCCCGTCTGGCCACAGCCAAGGCCATGGTGGAAATGGCGTTTCTGCTGCAGGAGAGCTCCTGTGTTGAGGCATGCCAAACTCCTGTTGATATAGTTGATCTCTTCCCCAAATATCCCTCCCTGCAGGCCCGCCTGGCCACGGCAAAGGCCATGGCAGAGATGGCGTTTCTGCTGCAGGAGAGCTACCTGCGCTCCACCCTCAGCGCCCTGCTGCCTGCCCTCCGCTCCCTGTGAGTGTTTGTGTGAGTGTGTGTTTGTGTGAGTGTGAGGCTTTGAGGGTGGGTGTATCTGTGTGAGTGTGAGGCTTTGTAAGGATCCGCCTGACAGTGCGCTCATGAGTGCAGTAGAGTAGAGCTACCTGCACCCCACCCTCGGCTCTTAGTAGAGCTACATGCTCCCATCCACATTTTGTGGCCCCTCGGTCTGTACTCTTCATACTCCAAGACCCTCTACGTCTATGGCATCACACTACAAGTTTCGAGGCGCCTCAAAACTTCACCCTTACCTGTCTCCCATTCACATGGTGTGCCCCCTCAGTCTGTGCTCTTCACATTCCAAGACCCCTGTTCGTCTAAGGCATCACACTACAAGTTTCGAGGCGCCTCAAAACTTCACCCTTACTTGTCTCCCATTCACATGGTGTGACCCCTCAGTCTGTGCTCTTCACATTCCAAGACCCCTGTTCGTCTAAGGCATCACACTACAAGTTTCGAGGCGCCTCAAAACTTCACCCTTACTTGTCTCCCATTCACATGGTGTGACCCCTCAGTCTGTGCTCTTCACATTCCAATACCCCTGTTCGTCTAAGGCATCACACTACAAGTTTCGAGGCGCCTCAAAACTTCACCCTTACTTGTCTCCCATTCACATGGTGTGACCCCTCAGTCTGTGCTCTTCACATTCCAATACCCTGTTCGTCTAAGGCATCACACTACAAGTTTCGAGGCGCCTCAAAACTTCACCCTTACTTGTCTCCCATTCACATGGTGTGACCCCTCAGTCTGTGCTCTTCACATTCCAATACCCCTGTTCGTCTAAGGCATCACACTACAAGTTTCGAGGCGCCTCAAAACTTCACCCTTACTTGTCTCCCATTCACATGGTGTGACCCCTCAGTCTGTGCTCTTCACATTCCAATACCCCTGTTCGTCTAAGGCATCACACTACAAGTTTCGAGGCGCCTCAAAACTTCACCCTTGTCTCCCATTCACATGGTGTGACCCCTCAGTCTGTGCTCTTCACATTCCAATACCCCTGTTCGTCTAAGGCATCACACTACAAGTTTCGAGGCGCCTCAAAACTTCACCCTTACTTGTCTCCCATTCACATGGTGTGACCCCTCAGTCTGTGCTCTTCACATTCCAATACCCCTGTTCGTCTAAGGCATCACACTACAAGTTTCGAGGCGCCTCAAAACTTCACCCTTACTTGTCTCCCATTCACATGGTGTGACCCCTCAGTCTGTGCTCTTCACATTCCAATACCCCTGTTCGTCTAAGGCATCACACTACAAGTTTCGAGGCGCCTCAAAACTTCACCCTTACTTGTCTCCCATTCACATGGTGTGACCCCTCAGTCTGTGCTCTTCACATTCCAATACCCCTGTTCGTCTATGGCATCGCACTACAGCATTCCTGTCCATCTACTTGGCACGCTTTCCATTGTCCCGCCCCTTCCGTCCCTTTTGTTCTCCAGATACGGCAAGGAGCCCGAGGAGTATCAGCACGTACTCATTACAGAAAGCCTCAGTACTCTCTTGAGAGCTCTTCTTGGGGGCAGCCCTGACCCAGACGGTGCTTCCAACACAGAATCTACCAGCAGCAGCAGCAGCAACAGCAGCAGCAGCAACAGCGGCGGCGGCGGCGGGGGTAACACAGATTCTGGTCCAGTCTCTGTGGCAGGGGGGCAAGTTGAGCAGGTTTTACCAGTGCAGGTTTCATCTGATTTCCAGGGTGGTGTGGCTGGTCCTGGTGCTGCTAGTTCTGCTGGTGGTAAAGCTGGTGGTGGCGCAGCAATGGCACTTGGACGACCAAAGCATGGGCTCAACCCAAAGGTTCGACATGCTGATACAAGACGTGATTATTTTATCACGTTTAATCATGTTCAACCTATTACTCACGTTTCACACAGAAATACGATATGCTAGTGCAATAGGAGAAATCTAGCTGTCATACCTTCTTTCTTTCCATGTATGTTGCTGTTCTAGGGCCAGTGTCTGCTTCCCGTTCACGTTCTCATGTTCTGGTCTGGTCCACCCCACACACCCCCTGGTGGTGCTTTTGAGTCGACTCACAAGTCTTCACGTTCTCATGTTCTGGTCTACCCCACACACCCCCTGCCCTGGTGTTGCTTTTGAGTCGACTCACAAGTCTTCACGTTCTCATGTTCTGGTCTACCTCACACACCTCCAGGTGTTGCTGCCCACTCTGGAGTTCCTGTTCGCCCTGACTGGCCACTACACCAGCCGACTGGGCTCCAACACTGCTGATATCCGCACCACCATCACTGTAAGTCTTGTCTCATAGCTGCTTCCCTGTCTTTCTGCCCTGTGTGCTGCCGCCGGTTCCGTGAATTGTCCAGCTGTCCAGCCATGTAGGCGCTCAAGTGCATGCATCCCTCTTGCATAATTACTGCAGTATGTGCTCTTCAGAACTCAGTGCGGAATCACCTATGAGTTTTCTCCTTGCATCCCGTCCATGCCCCCATGCACCCCCCCATGCACCCCGCCATGCACCCCGCCATGCACCCCCCCATGCACCCCCCCATGCACCCCCCCATGCATCCCCCCATGCTTCCACCTGACGTTGTTTGCAGGGTCTGAAGGCAGCCATGTGGTGCACCATGAGCCAACACCATCACGGATTTTCGAGGCGCCTCAAAATGAAACGATTTTTTTGGCGCCGCAAAACCCCCCCCCCCCTTCCCCCCCCCCCTCATGCTTCCACCTGACGACGTCTGCAGGGCCTGAATGCAGCCATGCGGTGCACCATGACCATCACAGAGGCATTCCCACAACATGCATGCGCTTTCGCCATCCAGGTAAGCAGGCCTTTCGTTTTGAGACGTCTCAACACTTAATGCAGCCATGCGGTGCACCATCATCACGGAAGCATTCCCACAACATGCATGCGCTTTTACCATCCAGGTACACAGGCATCTCTTTCTCGTTCTGCCTCTCCCTCCCACCTGCACGAACCTTCTTCTTCTGCTCACATGCTTTTTCCCCACTTTCTCTCCCACACCTGCCTTCTCAGAATCGTTGCTTTCCTGCCTTACTCCCTCGTTGCCATGCAGAGAGCAGCCCACAGGGGAGTGGATGCACGCATCAGGCAGGGGGCTCTTGTTCTTCTGCGCCGCATTGTGACCAGGTGCGTTGCATTGTGCTGCATGAATGCATGGCTCGTTGACGTTGTGCCACGTGGTACGAGGCGTATCTCACTGGATACGATTCCGTATTGTGCATCCTTTCTCGCTCAACAGCATGTCTCAAGTGTGGGCAGTGACTCTTGAGTCGACACAAAGCACCATCTCTTACTGTGGATTCTCTCTCACTCCACTCCACAGCATCCCTCAAGTGCGAGCGGAATGATTTCAAAGTTGGCCCAAAAGTTGCATGTCTAACTTCTCACCACCCCTTCATGTGCCTCCTCCATCGCTCCACACCACAGCATGCGTAAGGTGCGGGCGGGGTGGCTTTTGACTCGACCCAGAAGTCACATGTCTTACCGCTTACCGTCTCATATAGTCCGTCCATTCTCCCCTTACTCCACTGAATGCCGCAAGTCTGGGCGGAATGACTTCTGAATCTACTAAAAAAGTTGCATGTCTTATTGCTCACCGTCTCTTACTGCGTACCCTCTCTTCCTGTCTATCCTCTCTCACTCCACACAGCATGCCGCAAGTGTGGGCGGGGAGCGAGGAGCAGTTCTGCCAGGGGGCGATCTACATCGTCCAATCAGAAGAGGCCATGGAGAGCGGGCAGGACACGTCAGCACAGGATATTTTCGCTCTGGGCTGGGGACAGGGCCACTCCTCCTTGAGTCACTCCTCAAGCCTCCCCACTAGTGAACCATCTAGCCCTGCTGGGATCACGGCTTGCCCAAGAGGGGGTGAGGGGGGAGGAGGGGTAGGGGGAGGAACAGGGGGGAGTGCGGGAGGGGCAGGAGGGGCCACGGGAGGAGGTGGTGGAGGAATGGGAGGAGGGGCAGGAGGAGGGGCAGCAGCAGGGGTGTCGCCGATAGAGGCGGTGATTCTGAAGCCGGTGGACGCAGTGGAGGTGGAGTGGAGTGCCGCGTGTGCTTCGCTACTGGGGTCAGCTGTGATCGTGCCCAGAAACGTGCCGTGTGACGAGACACGCAAGGAAATCGTCCAGGTGAGGGAGGTGTTTGTTCAGTAGAGTTACCAGTGGCACAACTGTTGCTGATAGAGGCGGGGCTGTTGCGGCTAGTGGGATCAGTGGAGGTGGAGTGAACCGCTGCTTGCTCGTCCCTGCTGGGAGCAGCTGTAATTGTGCCCAGGAACGTGCCGTGTGACGAGTCACGCAAGGAGATTTTTCAGGTGAGGGAGGTTTTCGTTCAGTAGAGTTACCAGTAGCACAACTGTTGCCGATAGAGGCGGTGCTTCCACGGCCAGTAGGAGCAGTGGAGTTGGAGTGGAGTGCTACTTGCTCGTCCCTGCTGGGAGCAGCTGTGATCGTGCCCAGGAACGTGCCGTGTGGCGAGACGAGCAAGGAGATCTTCCAGGTGAGGGAGGTGTTTGTTCAGTAGAGTTACCAGTAGCACAACTGTTGCCGATAGAGGCGGTGCTTCTGTGGCCAGTGGGGGTAGTGGAGGTGGTTTGGAGTGCTGCTTGCTCGTCCCTGCTAGGAGCAGCTGTGATCGTGCCAAGGAACGTGCCGTGTGACGAGTCACGCAAGGAGATCGTTCAGTTGAAGTCTTCTAACCCGGCCTTATACTAGCAGGTTTATGTTTTTTTTAGAATTCTAAAAAATGACTCCATACTAGCAGGTACCCGTTTTGACTTGTCGTTTGAGCTCGTCTCGACCCCACCAGCTTGAGTCTTTGGCGGGGCCTCTAAATCCTCTTTGCACCAGCACAGCCCCTCCAAATGCCTGCTGGCTGCTCGAATCTTGTCACCACTATCACAATCCGAATCCTGTCAGGCTGTCACCATGCCATCAGCTCTTTCGTTCTTCAATCTGCTTTTGTCGCCATGCCATGTCGCCAACTGTCTCTGTTTTTCAAACCCTTCTCATCATTCTCTCTTATCGTGTTCTCATCAGCTCATCCTCGCCATGGCAGCCACCAATCAGCTGCTGCCAGCTCACCCAGTCCCCGCCTACCACCTCCTCTTCTTCCTCATCTCCCAAGCCGGCCGCTCCTTCCGCCCCGCCCCCTCCTCCTCTCTCTCCTCCTCCTCTTCTGCCATTGACGCCAGCAGCACCAGCAGCACCAGCATCAGCAGTGGTGGAGGGGGGCCAACAGGAAGGGAGGCGAGGAGGAGGGCGGCAGGAGGTGGAGGGGATGAGGGGTCTCTGTACCAGGTCTGCAGCAAGGGATTGAGCATCCTCGCTAATACCGTCCACACTATGGATGTAAGCCGTTGATTTGTATGACTTTTGAGATAATTGCGTTTCAAGGGTCTCTGTACCAGGTCTGCAGCAAGGGATTGAGCATCCTCGCTAATACCGTCCACACTATGGATGTGAGTCTCGAATTCGTATGGTATGACTTGTAAGATAACTGCCTTTGAGGAGTCTCTGTGTTCTGTGTCATGTCTGCTCCAAGGGATTGAGCATCCTCGCTAATACCGTCCCTTGAGGGGTCTTCCTTTGAGGGTATTAGCTAGGATGCCCAATACCATGGATGTGAGTCACGGATTAATATGGCGTGTAAGATACCTGCCTTTGAGGGGACTTTCTGTATCATGTGTTGTAAACTAGTCTCTAGTCTGCTGCAAGGGATCGATCATTCTTGCTAGTACTGCCCATCCCAGGGATGTGAGTAGTTGGGCTCAGACGTGAGTGGCTGGGCTTTGGGTGTCTCAAAAGGTGGCTTCTTAGGAGACATTTATGCGATGCATCAGAGCAAACCGTTTTGCTCTTCCCTCCATCTTTTTTTGCAGGCCTGCGTCAGCCAATCTCGCTCCTCGGTTCCCGTCTCCTTTCATCTTACTTCCCTCCCATCCCTTGCTTCCGTCTCAACGTGTGGAGTGGTACACTGGCTTACTGCTATCAATGCTCCACGTGTACCACACGTGGAGGTACACTGGCTTCCGTCTCCACGTGTGGTACACTGGCTTGCTGCTACCAATGCTCAAGGATGTGACGCTGCTGGCGCTGCTTAGGTCCCTGGTTAAGTCAAGCCTGCTTTTGAGGCGCCTCAAAAGAAGCCACCTCAAAGGCGCCTCAAAAGACTTCTCTCCCTTCCCTTGCTTCCTTCTCCATGTGTGGCACACTGGCTTGCTGCTATCAATGCTCCAGGATGTGATGCTGCTGGCGCTGCTAAGATCGCTGGTCAAGTCAAGCCTCGACTGCATCTTGCCACTGGTAACCACATTTTGCTGCTGGTAACCATGTCTTGCCATTGGTTACAGCTTTTATTGCATCTTTAATGCATTCACTTTTGTGTGTGTTAATTTCTCCTTGCTTTCATCTCCATGTTGTATGTGCCTTGGACCAGCCTAGAAACATGAACACTTCTCGTGTAAAGGCCACTGCGCCTGTGCGTTCGAGCTCTTCTTTCATCCACTGAATGCACAGGTCTCTGTGAGTGTTTTCCCCCCCCCCTCTCTCTCTCTCTCCTTTATTCCTTTGTTGCCCGGTACTCTGGGTGTCTGGCTGCAGGTTCTGCAATGCTTATCCACTATTATATCTCGAAAGTCACCTTCCGCTTCTCACTTGGAGGTAGGAGCGGACTCAGGAGTACAAGCAGCAGGAGATGGAGCAGCAGCGGGAGAAGGAACGAGTGCGGGAGGAATTGAGGGAGGGAGAGGAATTAGTGAGAGAAGGGGCGAAGGGGACGCAGGAGAGGGAGGAGTTAGAGGAGGCACGGTGGGAACGAGCATTGGTGTGGGGGAGAAGGATGCGAGTGCAGAGAGGGAGATCAGGGGGCTTTCGCAGTTTAAGCTGCCACCACTGGAGGTATGTCAGTCGATCTCTGTTTGCAAGGGAATGAGGAGGGTTCTTTCCCTCCGCTTTTGCCAGGTACTGTCCAGCCACATTTTCCTTTCCCTCCGAAGGTAATGAGTCGATTTCTGAGTCGACTAAAAAATCGACTCATGACACACACCCTCAGCTTTTTCCAGGTACTGGCCAGCCACATTTTCCTTTCCCTCCGAAGATGCACTAGTAGTGTACATGCATTCTTGCTGCAGACTGCTCTTCGCCCATGAGCTTCTGCCATGTCTGCTTGGAAGCTACGAGACACTGATTGGCGGGTAACAAAGGATGTCGAACAACCACCAAATCACGTGTTAGCACAAAAAATGCTACCACCATCTTCGCTGCCATCTGCCTTTCTTTGATTTGCACCTACACAGGAGCTGCTTTTGAGGCGCCTCAAAAGCAGTCTCTCTCAATTCGCCACTGAATCACGTGTTAGCACAGAAAATGCTACCACCATCTTCGTTGCCATCTGCCTTTTTTTGAGGCGCCTCAAAAATAGACTCCGCATGCTGCCATCTGCCTTTCTTTTGATTTGCACCCACACAGGAGCTTCTGCCACGGCTGCTCATTCTGCTTGGTAGCGACAAGACTCTCACTGATGGACAGCGAAGGACGAGGATATTTCAGGTGCTGTTCAGTGGGTCGTAGACAAGACGAGTTGTAGACATATTTGGAAGAGGCTAGACAAGGAGCGGGACTAGGATCTTTCGGGTGTTGTCCCTTGGGTCGTCGCAGACAAGACAAGCCATAGATAAATTTCAACCGGAAGCCTTTGGTCGTAGACAAGAAAAACTGTAGATAAATCTGGTGAGATTGCTGCAAGCCCGTGTGGTTAGTGGGCTAGGCAATGAGCAGCAGTGCTCATTGAATACCCCACTAACAGGCAGCTGCTAAGAGCTGCTAAGAAATGGTTTCCCTGCCTACCAGGCGGCTGCTATGAGCTCTGTGACCCAATGGGCATTCATTGACCCAATGTCTTCTGCTCTCTCCTTTCCAGTGACTTAACATCCACATCTCGAGCAAGACCATTTCTTTAGACTTCTTGGTTGATGTCCATCTTCCATCCTCCCTTCCAATAATGTATGGCTCTGCAGGTGCTTGAGTTTGTTCGGCAAAGCACTCTTCCATCCGCTATTGGAGCCATGGCCCTCGATGTAAGCTTCTCTCCCCGCTGCCCAGCTCGCGTATTGTTTGCTGTACTTTTGGCCAACTTACTTGTGATTGATACGTCTTAAGTAGGAACTGTGTACACTGTCATCCGCTCAACACTTGATCTAGCTAGTTCTGCAATCTGTTTAGAACCTTCACAACATAACTACCCCTCTTCCTCTCTCCGTCTCTTCCCCTCTTCCTCACTTCTTCTCTCACCAGATCCAGCATATGAAGCTCCTGGCTGAGCGTCCACGACACAGCGATAGGGCTGGGAGTGGCAGCCAATCAGAGTGCAGAAGATCCGTGTGGCAGGATGCCACAATGAAGGCAAGTTGCTCTCGTTCAGAAACAAGTTGGAGCACTTTCCCTGGATAGAACAAAATAAGCTGATTTTGAGAATTCGAAGAAACCAACATTTCCCGGATGATGATAATAATAATAATAATCATAATCATAATAATAATAATAAAAATACGAGAAGGAATGGTCATTCCGCGCATTTGTGTTCGTGGTCTCACTCGTTATGTGCCCTGTCGCAATTTATCGATTTATCTCCTGCGCTGCAATGCCCTTGGGTCGCCTTGGTAGATGCTGCAGCGAGCAGCTGATACAGTGGACAATGCTGACTGATCAGCCTGGGTTGATGAGTTCGCTGCCATGATTCTTACCCTGGCTTTCTCTTTCCTGGATTGTCTGTTCCTCCTCTCTTTCCCCAGATGTTGCTGAGAGCTGTTGATACGGTGGGCAATGCTGACTGGACAGCTCGGGTGTGCGACGGCTTTGCTGCCTTCTACTCGTGGCCATGTCTCGATGCGAGCCAGCACATTCTGCTGCACAGGTGCGCTTTGAGTTGACTACAGGTGTGCGGACGCGCGCGCATGTGTGTGTGTGTGGGAGGGGGAGGGGGAGGAGGGGGGGTGAAGGGGGGGGGCATGGGTGCGTGTGTGATGGCTCCCCTTCATCCTACTCGCAGGCTTGTCTTGATACAAGTCCACTATTTAGTCGACAAAAAAAACGCGTGTAATGAGTCTGCTTGTGAGTCGACTCAAAAGCTACTCGTGGGCTTGTCTTGATTCAAATCAGCACATTCTGCTGCACAGGTGCGTTCTGAGAGCAGCGCACTCAAGAATTGCATGCATGCGTATACGCATGTGGGTGTTTCCCTCCTCTCCTTCCTCTTGTCTTCCATGTTCTCTCCTCCTCTTTTGAGGCGCCTCAAAAGTCTTTCCATGTTCTCTCCTCCTCTTTTGAGGCGCCTCAAAAGTCTTCCATGTTCTCTCCTCCTCTTTCCTCTCTACTCTCGACCTCTACTCTCTGCTCCTCCCTTCCCTTCTACTCTTTTCTCCTCTCTCTACTTTCCCGCCTTGCATTAGGTGCATGGGAGCGTTGGTTCAAAGGGCATCAGATGCAGCATGAGCCCATGGGGACCGCGATGCTCATGTTTAACTCGGCTGACCTCTCTCTGACCGCATGGGAGAGATGCTCGTGTTTCTTTGTGCCCTACACGCCAGATGCATGGGAGCGCTTGTCCAGCGGGCATCAGACGCAGTCTTCATTCAGCGTCGGGTGGCGCTCATGTTTGACTCGGCTACCCTCTCGGAACCGCTCGACCGACATGCTCTTGCGATGGGGCTTGGCGCTGTGAGTTGCGTCACTTTCAGGCTCCATGTTCGCCTGTTTGTGTTCGCCTGTTTGTGTTTGCCTGTTTGTGTTTGCCTGTTTGTGTTCGCCTGTTTGTGTTCACCTGTTTGTGTTCGCCTGTTTGTGTTTGCCTGTTTGTGTTTGCCTGTTTGTGTTCGCCTGTTTGTGTTCGCCTGTTTGTGTTCGCCTGTTTGTGTTCGCCTGTCAAGGACTTCAGATGCGCTCCTCTGGGTTGGGGCCTGTCCACCCTTCATGTTCGACTCTCCACCCCGCGCTCCGTTTTGGAGTGGAGTGCGAAGTTTGACTCCTGGCCAGGACTTACTCTGCTCTGCTCCACACTCCGTCTGTCCTCGTTCCAGCCACCTTGGAGCGAGTCCTAGGCACCTTATCTGTCTTCCAAGGTCCTTAGAGCGTCTCCAATCTTCTACTTGATTAATATTTCTTCCTTCTCCATCCCTGCTCTGCCCTCTCACCACTGCAGGTGGCAGCTGCTCGTCTGGATGTGGTTCTGGCCACCTTAGATCAAGCCCTCGACACCTACTATGTCGCCAATCTTACTTTTTATTCTTCTACTCTACCTTTCCGCTCTAAACATTTCTCCGTACTGCAGGTGGCATCTGCTCATCTGGATGTGGTTCTGGCCACCTTGGAGCAAGTCCTTGACACCTACTCAGTCTCCAATCTGCAACGGTATGCCTCGTTTTCTCCCCATCATCTCTCCAAGCCAAGTCCGTGAGTCCTGCTCTGCCTCCAATCCAAAACAGAAGGTTCGTTTCACGCTTTCCCCCCTCCCCTTCCTATCACATCTGACTCATCCCTCCTTTCTCTCAAAATATTCCCCTAACCCTCCTTCCTATGCCTTCGTTTCCCACCCATGATATTCGTGTCCAGGATATACCCATGCCTTCCTAACCCCCTCACCCGTCTCCAGGATATACCAATTCGTCAGAACCCTCGGCTCTCAATCCGCCATCTTCATTCCTAAATCCTCCTCCTCCTCCTCTTCCGCCCCCAAGCTCACTCTCCCGCCTCTCGAGCGCCTCTTCAAGAAGGAGACTGCCACGTCAGCAGCTGCTGACTTCCTGCGGGACCCGCTGATGCATGATGACGTGTGCTCTGTGCTTGCGCTGACGTATGGGTACACGGTGGCCTTCTCGGAAGCTTCTGTGGTGAATGCACGGATCACAACGCTGCTGGTTAGTCAAAATGGCTTGGCATAGGTAGTGGTGCATGCATGGTGTAATGCTTGGTGTAATGCTTGGTGTAATGCTTGGTGTAATGCTTGGCGTAATGCTTGGTGCAATGCTTGGTGTAATGCTTGGTGTGATGCTTGGTGTAATGCTTGGTGTAATGCTTGGTGTGATGCTTGGTGTGATGCTTGGTGTGATGCTTGGTGTAATGCTTGGTGTAATGCTTGGTGTAATGCTTGGTGTAATGCTTGGTGTGATGCTTGGTGTGATGCTTGGTGTAATGCTTGGTGTAATGGTTGGTGTAATGGTTGGTGTAGTGCTTGGTGTAATGGTTGGTGTAATGGTTGGTGTAATGGTTGGCGGAATGCTTGGTGCAATGCTTGGTGTAATGCTTGGTGCAATGCTTGGTGTAATGCTTGGTGTAATGCTTGGTGTAATGCTTGGTGTAATGCTTGGTGTAATGCTTGGTGTAATGCTTGGTGTAATGCTTGGTGTAATGCTTGGTGTAATGCTTGGTGTAATGCTTGGTGTAATGCTTGGTGTGATGCTTGGTGTGATGCTTGGTGTAATGCTTGGTGTAATGCTTGGTGTAATGCTTGGTGTAATGCTTGGTGTAATGCTTGGTGTAATGCTTGGTGTAATGCTTGGTGTGATGCTTGGTGTGATGCTTGGTGTGATGCTTGGTGTAATGCTTGGTGTAATGCTTGGTGTAGTGCTTGGTGTAATGCTTGGTGTAATGCTTGGTGTAATGCTTGGTGTAACACATGGTAGAGTGGAGAGAGCGTCGGGAGAGAGCGGGGAGAGAGGGGAAAGAGTGGGGAGAGTGGGGAGAGCCAGGATAGAGTGGGGAGGGATTGGGGATAGAGTGGGGGTAGAGTGGGGATAGAGTGGGGATAGAGTGGGGAGAGAGTTGGGGTAGAGTGGGGAGAGAGTGGAAGGGAAGGGAATGATGTATGTAATGTAACCCATGGCATTGCTGCCTACCACATGCTGTAGCATGTGGCAGGTGACACGGATAGCACACAGTGTCATGTCACGCTTTCTGTGCTTTCCATTCACTAGACACCTCTACAAACGCCAAATCTGTACGTTTTGAAACACGCTATTTCCGCTTCCACTCCCCTCCCATGTTTTGCCCCTTCAATTACCAGCTCCCATGTGATAGGAGTCTAGTTTTGAGGCGCCTCAGAACTAGACTCTATTACCAGCTCCCATCACCGCCGCTCACTGGATATGTCCGAAGATCTCTCATGTTTTGCCCCTTCCATTACCATGCAGGAGGCCAATGTGTTTGCGCCTCTGTCGGCAGTGACATGCGTCCCAGCAAGGATGGCGGCGGTGAAAGCCGTACACTTGCTAGCCTCTGTTGCTCTCACCACTAGTTCAACACACGTCCCTCCCCTCTTGTGCTCCTCTCCTCCCAACCCCCCTTCCCATCCCCCTTCCATTACCATGCAGCAGGCCAATGTGTTCGCTCCTTTGGCAGCAGTGACATCCCTCCCAGCATGGATGGCGGTGGTGGTTCAAGCCATTCACATGCTCGCCTCGGCTGCTCTCAGCATCACCTCCCCATACTCCCCGTTCCCTCGCATGCTGTTCTCCTCGTGCTACCCTGCAGGAGGCCAATGTGTTCACACCTCTGGCAGCAGTGACATCCCTCCCAGCAAGGATGGCGGTTGTTCAAGCCATTCACATGCTCGCCTCTGCTGCTCTCACCACCGCGTCAGCACCACACTCAGCAACCCCATCAGTCCCATCTACAGTCCATAAAGCACCTCATCCTACTGTGCTTGCAACACCCGCCCATCCAACCACATTCACACTACAAACCACCTCTATCCCTCTGAAGAGCCGCGACGACCTCATCAGCTGCTGCCTGCTCTTCCTCCCTCCCATCCCCTCCCCACCACCACTCACACCACCCCCCTCCTCTTCCTCTGCCTCCTCCTCTGCACCCACCTCCTCCTTTGCGTCATACACGGCGTCTTCCTCCTTCTTTACATCCCCTCTCCCTTCTTCTGTCCCCACCTCGCTCCCCGGACCAACATCTAGCTCCTCAGCAGGCCCAGCCCGAGGCTCAAGCACAGGCTCGGGCCCAGGCTCGGGTCCAGGCTCGGCAACTGCTGGTGGTGGTGGTGGTGCACCGAGGTTTATAATGAGGGTCAGGGGGGCGGATGGGGCAGCAGCTAGCGCAGTGGGAGAGGCATCATACACATTGGGGGAGGAGGAAGTTGGGCTTCAGATTGCATGTGTGCGGGCGTGCACGCTCCTTATTCGGTCACATCCCAAGCTCACTTCGGCTGTTCGCAAGAGTGTGCAGGTGAGCTGACGTTTTGCGTTCGTATGTTCGCAAGAGCATGCAGGGGAGAACGTGCATCCAGTCGCTTTATAATGGGAGAAGGCTTGTTTTGATAGGGTGAAATGGCTCAGATCAAATGGGTATACAATGCAGTAGAGGAGAGCCATGTACAGTGTTTTCTCTCTAGCCGTCAACCCCTTAGTGCTCAACCATCCCACCCTTTCTTTCTCCACCGTGCCAACCCCCTTTTGCTTAACTGTCTTGTTCTCTCCAGGCGGTTACTCCCCTGCTGTGCATTGACGACACACGGCTGGCTGGTCGTATGAAAGGAGGCCTGGATGGGTTGAGTGGAGGATGGGGAGAAGGAAGAGGGGGAAGTGGTGTAGAAGTTGGAGAGGGGGGGGGCGGAGGCGAGGGGAGGGAAGAACGAGAGGGGTCAAGTTCGAGTGGTTCGGATAGTGAGGGTGAGGGCGAGGGGGATGGGGGTGGGAAGGGAAAGAGGAGAAAAGGGAGGAGGAAGCAGGTGGTTGGTCCGTTGGCATTCAGCGTCATATCTCTGCTCTGTAGCGTGCTACAGATGAGGTGAGCGTGCTACAGATGGGGTGAGCGTGCTACAGATGGGGTGAGCGTGCTACAGATGGGGTGAGCGTGCTACAGATGAGGTGAGCGTGCTACAGATCAGGTGAGCAAACTGGAAATTGTGTGTTTGTGTGCCGTCGCTCTTCAGTCACAGCTCTAGCCCGTACAGCTCGTCAGTCACAGCTCTAGCCCATACAGCTCGTCAGTCACAGCTCTAGCCCGTACAGCTCGTCAGTCACAGCTCTAGCCCGTACAGCTCTTCAGTCACAGTCACAGCCCAAGATGAAAAAACTTTAGCGAAGAGGAGGAGATTCGGCACATCCTCTCTCGGCTCCGCCCCATCATTCCTTCACGCGCCTTACCACTCCTCTTGCTCTCCTCTGCTCTAGCAGCAGAAAGGACAGCAGGGAGGAAGAGGAGGAGCTTCAGCACATGCTCTCTCTGCCCCGCCACAGCATTCCTTCATGTGCCCAACTAAGGATGAGCAAACCACCCGACCGGGTCGGGTACCCGGTACCCGGACGCGTTTTTAGGGCGGGTCGGGTATCAGAAATCCTGGATAATACCCGGCGGGTCGGGTCCGGGTTACCCGGGCGGGTATTCAATACCCGGTACCCGAAATGCTACCCGACGCGTCGGGTAGCGGGTACCCGACCCGAAATCGGGTAGCGGTCTACCCGACGGAACCAGCGAGACATTAGTCACGCTGTTAGAGAAAATTCATCAAGTTTCTAGGTTACGTGAGCTGCTAGGTCACTTAGAGCATTGTAGATTGGCAGGGGTTGGGTTACGTAGATACAGATGCATTCAGAGTGGTTGAATTGGGGGGAATTGGTTGGAAGTCAAACCAATCGAATTTCCCCAATCCAATTTGCAACCCAACCTGAATCCAGCCAACCGCACAGCACCACATTTGTTGGAGTTCCAACCAATTGACACTGGGGGTCAAAGAATCAAACCCCCAGAAACCGCACACAACCCCATCCCAACTAGAAAACCCAACCAACTCCCCACCAGGCCCCACTCACGACCCACTCACCACACCAGAACTGTTAAAGATTTGACGCACCTCATACTCCCTCCCGCAGCTCACGTTTTTTGAAGCACTATCTAGGTCGTAGGCTTAGTAGCCCAACAGGGTAGAAAAACGCGGGTAATACTACCCGCTTTTCAAGGAAACCGGGTCGGGTATACCCGGACCCGCCAGGCGGGTATTAAATTACCCGCCCCCCAAATCCCGGGTCCGGGTATTGGTCCTGGGCATATTACCCGACCCGTACCCGACCCGAAAATACCCGACCCGAAGTCGGGTATAGCAAAACCGGGTCGGGTCGGGTAAATACCCGGTTTTGCTCATGCCTATGCCCAACCAACCCCTTGCTCTCTGTGTGTTCTTCACCGTTCTCCCGTGCTCTCGCAGCAACAAGGACAGCAGGGAAGAGGAAGAGGAGCTCCAGCACATCCTCTCTCTGCTCCGTCCCCTCCTCTCCCTCCTCCTCCCACCTCCTCCTCCCCATCCCTCCTCCCAGCTACCCTCTGCCCTCAACCCCACCACTCTCCTTTCCTCCGCCTTCACCTCATCCCCACCCAGTTCCGCCCCAACCAGTTCTTCCCTACCCAGCAGTAGTCAAGTGGGTAGCAAGCCCGGAAGCAACCCCAATAGCAAGCCGAGTAGCAAGCCTAGCAGTAAGCCTGGCAGTCAACCTGGAAGCCCCGGACTCAGAGCAAGGGGCAAATCGAACTTGGGAGGTGGAGCAGGCGGATGGGAGAGAGGGGGAGTAGAAGGAAGCAGGGAGGACAGAGCGGAGAGAGGGGAGAAGGGGAGGGAGACGCAGGAGAGGCGGTGGCATCAGCGGTGGAGGTAGTGATGGCAGCACAGCAGCGGGTGCTGACGGCGTATCTGGCTGTCTGCGCCCAGTTCCATACGTTGGCGCTTGTGGAACACCGGCTGCCAGACTGCTGTTGGGAAGACGTGTGCTCGTTCCTGGAGGCTAGCAGGGGTGGATTGAGCCATTTGGAAGCACAGGACGGTGAGTAATAGGGTGGGTGCTGCTGGGAATACTTGACTACTTTTCTCAAGGCCAGCAGGGGTGGAGTGCGCTGCATGGACGCACGGGAAGGCAAGGGAATGCGTGAGTGTCCCGACGACGTACGTAAGTGAGATCCCAAGGATCGTCACTCATTGGAGGAAGAGCTGCAGCGTGGAGTTTCTGTCAGCAGAAAGATCGGTTGCCTTGTAAAAGGTGAGGGAATGCGTGAGTGTCCTGACGACGTATCTTGCAGTGTGTGCTCAGTTCCATGCCTGTGCTCAGTTCCATGCCTGTGCTCAGTTCCATGCCTGTGCTCAGTTCCATGCCTGTGCTCAGTTCCATGCCTGTGCTCAGTTCCATGCCTGTGCTCAGTTCCATGCCTGTGCTCAGTTCCATGCCTGTGCTCAGTTCCATGCCTGTGCTCAGTTCCATGCCTGTGCTCAGTTCCATGCCTGTGCTCAGTTCCATGCCTGTGCTCAGTTCCATGCCTGTGCTCAGTTCCATGCCTGTGCTCAGTTCCATGCCTGTGCTCAGTTCCATGCCTGTGCTCAGTTCCATGCCTGTGCTCAGTTCCATGCCTGTGCTCAGTTCCATGCCTGTGCTCAGTTCCATGCCTGTGCTCAGTTCCATGCCTGTGCTCAGTTCCATGCCTGTGCTCAGTTCCATGCCTGTGCTCAGTTCCATGCCTTGGCGCATGCCTGTGCGTTCCATGCCTTGGCGCTTGGGGAACACCGGCTGCCAGATTGCTGTTGAGAGGATGTGCGCTCTTTCTTGGAGGCCAGCAGGGGTGGAGTGAGCTATACGGACGCACAGGAGGGTGAGTGAATGATGAGGACGTGTCTTCCTGTATGCGCTCAGTTCCATGCCTTGGCGCTTGGAGGACAGGGATAGCGAGTTTGTTGTTGGGAAGATGTAAAAGCCTTCCTGGAGCCCAACAGGGGTGGAGTGAGGTGTATGGACGCACAGGAGGGTGAGTGAATGTGTTCTGCTGGGAAGATGCTAATACTCTCCTTAAGGCCGGCAGCAGTGGAGCACTGTATGGACGCACAGGAAGGAAGGTGAGTGAACACTCTCTCCTTTCTTTCCTCCCTCCAGCTCGACCCCCCCCCCCCAATTGCGCCCATCTCTCAACCTCCACCATCGCATGGCTATCATTCTTTCTGCCCTTCTGTGCCAATAAAAAAAAAAAAAACACTCCCTGCTTCGCTTCCCCTTTCAACATCGCCACTTCCCCCCCTCCAGCGCACTCCCCCCCATCGCGCCCATCTCTCAACCTGGGCCATCACATGGCCATCGTCCTGCCCTTCTGTGCCAATCAATCCGATGAACATCCTCCCTGCTTCCTTTCCCATTTCGGCACCCCCCCCTCCATCCCCAGCTCGCTCTCACCCATCGCGCCCATCTCTCAACCTGGGCCACCACATGGCTGTCATCCTGCCCTTCTGTGCCAATGCCGACCGCACACTGCAACTTCTCAGCTGCAAGGTAACCTTTTTCCAGCTGTTCGCCTGCAAGCAACCCGAGTATACTTTTGAGGCGCCTTAAAAATAGAGCCACCACATGGCCGTCATCCTGCCTTTCTGTGCCAATGCTGACCGCACGCTCCAACTGCTCAGCTGCAAGGTGCGCCCTCCTTCAGCTATTCGCCTGCAGCAAATTAATTCTTGTTGCTATGTTGCAACGGTTCATTAATTGGGGTGATTTATTATCGCTGCTGATTTAATTATTCCAAGCGGTCCATCGTTGCCCCCTGTTCATTCCTCCTCCAGTCGTCCTGTGTTGCTCTCCATCCTACCTCTTTCCTCCCTCCCTCTTACCCGTCTCCTTCCTCCCTCCCACCCTCTCTCCATCCATCTCCCCTCCTCCGTTTACCTTGCCTTTCTCTCCCTGCTTCCATGCCTTCTTTTAACCTTGTGAATGTCTGAAGTGTCTCAATTGTCTCTTACCCTGCGAAAAATGTCATATGTCTTTCACCCTGCCAAAATAAATAAATCAGATGTCGTCTTTCGCCCTGCCTATTTTCTCATATTTCTCTCACCCTGCCGCCCCCCTTGGTCTCCTCCCACCAGGTGGTTCTTTTGCTCCTGACAACAGCTGTATCCCTCTCCTCTCCACCTGAAAACCCACCTGAAAATTCGCCTGGCAATCCACCTGCAAGCACTGCCACTGAGCCCAACAGATCGCCGCAGTCGCCAAGCCATTCCCCCCCCGCCTCGCCGTCCGCCCTCCCTCTCTCCTCCCACCCTGCAACGCACCAATCAGAGGGGACCACAGCAGCAGCCGCTGCTCCCCACTCTGATTCCCTTTCATCCCCTCAAGTTCAACCGACTCGGTTCGCAAGTGCCCCACCAGGGGGTACTTACCCTGTGCTCCTTGCTTCTCTGGAAGCAAAGATCTCTGCAGCTGTGTCGAGTGAGGTGAGGATGCCTGCAACGAGGATTGAACTGTCTCTAGTAAGTGTCATTTCTTGGCATGCTTAAGCGCATCTTTGAAGGAACCATGTACATCTCGTGCCATTGCTCAGATCAACCGGCATGTATATATAATACTACGTGGAACCATGGATGCCCCACTCACATCAGTCTCTAACCCCGTGGCACACATCTGTTCGCTGCTGCAGGGCCCATTTTGGGCGTTGGATGAGGCAGCGGAGCAATGTGCGATGCCTTTTTTTGGCGCCCCTAAACCCCTGGCACACGCACACACCTGTTTGCTGCTGCAGGGCCCATCTCAGGGATCGGAGGAGGCAGAGGAGCAACGCGCGATGCTGTTTGATGCTGCTGTGGAGTGCATTGCAAACATACTCACAGCTGAGGAGGTGAGGGAGCGGTTGTGAGGGAACGATGTGTCTTATGCATGCACTAGAAAGGAGGCAGAAGAGCGTTGGGTGATGCTGTTTGATGCTGCTGTGGCCTGCATTGCGAACATTCTCACAGCTGAGGAGGTGAGGGAGCGGTTGTGAGGGAACGATGTGTCTTATGCACGCACTAGAAAGGAGGCAGGAGAGCGTTGGGTGATGCTGTTTGATGCTGCTGTGGGCTGCATTGCGAACATTCTCACAGCTGATAAGGTAGGGAGGGATGACTTCTGAAGCGTCTCAAATGGCACCTGCTTGCCTTTGAGTCGACTCAATCGCCGAGGTAGGGATGACTTCCGAAGCATCAAATGGCGCTTGCTCACAGTACTCACAGAAGCATAAGAGGTATGGATGTCTTGTCTTCATGTTACCTGGTAACCATCGCACCGTCCTCCTGTTGTTCCATCCCTTCATCTTCCCCTTCCCCAGGTGGCAGTGCTGCTGCTAGCAGCAGATGCCTTTCTCCATGTAACCTGGTAACCACCTTACCGCCAACCTGTTTGTCCATCTTCCCGCCCTCCCAGGTGGCAGTGCTGCTGCTAGCAGCAGACGCCTTTCGTCGCATCACCATGTTATGAGTCTATTTTTGAGTCGACTCACAAATCGACTCATAACACACCTTCGTCCTCCCCTCCCCCAGGTGGCAGTGCTGCTGCTAGCAGCAGACGCCTTCCTCCACATCACCTGCGCGGGCCACACCACCAGCACTTCTACCGACCAGGGGAAGAAAGAAATTGAGGAGGGGGAGGGAGGATTCGACCATTCTCAGAGCCCTGATTGTCAGTACGTGGGGAGCGTTGTGAGTCGGTGCATGGAGGCAGTTCTCACCATCGTCTCCCTCCGAGGCCACCAGCTGCTGCTGCAGGCAGAATCTGAGCGGTCGTCAGTGCAGCAGCAACCACTGCAAGAGCTGCAGCCATCCCAAGGCATGAAGCATCATCCCAGTCCGAAACTGAAAACGCTCAGATTAGGTCTGGGCTTGCAAGGCGTTGTTTCAACGGAAGTGGTGCAGCAGCAGCAGCAGCAGCCTGACTTGCAAGGTGGTGGTTTATTGGAGCAGCAGCAGGAGCAGGGCTGTGCTGGGAGGATCATCGATCGCATTGTTGCAGCCTCCCTTGGTTGCCACTACCGCTCTGCCCGCCAGCCTGCCTTTGCTGCGGTGGGTCATCCTTCCCAGCCAGTCCTTATTCTCGGTTCTTTTCAGTACATGCAGTTCTGATTCTTAGGAAAATGCAGTTGTTCAGCCAGCCTGCTTGCGCCAGCCTGCCTTTGCTGCGGTCAGTCATCCATCCCAGCCAGTCTTGGCCAAGCCCCTGCTCTTCCTGCCTTATATTGTTAATATTTTCCGGTTCGTGTCGGTTAATTCAGCCCTGATTCTTGAGAAATTCACAAAACTCACTCGTGTGTTGAACACGAGTGAGCTCTTGGTCATGTGTTGAAATCCAGCTCCCTCGAACTGGCGTGTTCGCTGTGAACACCCATGTGATCTACATTCTGCCAAGTGTGCTCACTGATGGCCTCCTGCAGCCCCTCGGCGCTGTTCCTCTGCGTGCTCCAACACGTGGGGGAAGCGTCTCTTAGGGTTTAACACCACCCCCTTGAATGCTAACACGTGTGTTCACTGGCGGCCTCCTGCAGCCCCTCGTCTTCCCTGTTCCGCTTCCTGCTCCAGCACGTGGATGGAGGAATGCTCACAGAAACCCTCTCATCTTTGCCCTTCGTCATCCCTCCAACAGGTGTGCTCGCTGGCGGCCTCCTGCAGCCCCTCGGCCCTGTTCCTCTGCGTGCTCCAACATGTGGAGGAAGCCTCTGGGAAGCTGCCGGCCTTGGAAGAGCTTGTAGAGGTGCGACGGGTGCGAGTGTGAAGCGGCGTGGTGTGTGAGGTTTTAATGGGCGTGGTGAGATGAATGAGACGATTTTGAGGCGTCTCAGAAAGAGGTGAGGTGTGCGGGCGTCTGCTTACAGTGGCAGTGTGAGCTGGAGATCATGCACTAGGTGTATTTTGAGTCGACTCAAAATACACCTTACAGTGGCCGTGTGAGCTGGAGATCATGCACTGTAAGCAGAGGGGAGGGTGCACATTATGCATGATCTCCAGCTCCTCTGCTGTGGCCGTGTGATAGAGAAGTGCATTTTTGAGACGTCTCATAGCTACGTTTCTATCATGCAGTTGAAGCACGCCATGCATGATATCCGATTCGATTGTTGCTGCTGGTGTACCCAACTTCGTTTCACGCCTGACCGATCTGAAGTTATGATGCCCCACCCGTTACGGGTAGGGCTGGGGGGCACCTTGGCTCGGCCACAACACTCGTGTGCTGTATGCATGAAAAGTATTCCTCCAGGTCATTATTCTCCGCTGCTTGATGTTGCTCTTATCTTATTCGCAGCCATGTCAACCTAGCGAACGTTGACTAAGGGACCGGCCGGCGCCTGTCGCTTTGTTAGCCGGGCTGGTGTCCAGTTTTGAAAGTATGAAATTCTTTTTCCTTTTCGTTGCTGCTTCCCACTTTCATGCAGGAAATAGCCCAGCATCCCTCACTTGGTTCCCAGCTATTTGACCGGCTTCTCCCCAGGCCCCTTCCAGATTCAACCCTGTCCGCCTGGCTGTCTCTCAGTCTGGAAGTTTGAATGTCTCTACCTTCCCACTATCTGCAGGAAATAGCTCAACATCCCTCACTTGGTCCTCAGCTTCTAGACCTGCTTCTCCCCAAGCTCATCCCGGGCTTTAACCCTGTGGGCCTCGCTGACTTGCGGTCAACAGCAGAGCCCTCAGTGCAGTCACACGCACAGTCACATTCAGAGTCACAAGCAGGGTCACAAGCAGAGCAACAGGCGCAGGAACAAGCACAGCTGCAGTCTGCTGTTGGGTCGGTGCCGGCAGGAGGGACTGAGGCAGCAGTGCCATCAGAAGCAGAGGTGGGGGAGGGGCAGGTTGGGTCGGTGTCTGCTGCTGCTCCAGCAGCAACGGAAGAGGCACAACTGGGGCAGGCTGCAGCTGAGGGTGCTGCTGCTGCTGCTGCTGCTGCTGATGCTGCTGCTGCTGCTGTTGCTGCTACAGTTGTGGCAAGTGCGGGGAGTGCGGGGAGCGCAGGGAAGCCCTTCATCTACTCCTCTGAGTCCAAAGCGGCCATCCGGACTCTGGGGATCATGCTCAGGTGAGAAAACAGTGCTCATGTGAGCCGTTACAACATGCTCCCATGCTTCTCACTGTTCCCCCCCCTTTCTCCTCTTCATTTCTGTCTCTCTGGTCCCCTTTCCCTCTGTCGCCCTCTGTGCTCTGCTGCTCAGCAGCGCACCATCCATACAAACTGTACCCCTCTCCTCCTCTCCCCTCTCCCTTTCCTTTCCCTCATCATTTTTTAGGCGCCTCAAAAATAGACCCCTGTCCTCCTCTCCCCCCTCTCCCTTTCCTTTCTGTCATCATTTGATTTGACCTCAAGGTAGCAGCGCTATCCCACTCTATCCCAACCAACTACAACTACAGCCTGCACTGCACCTGCTACTCTGTGGTCTCGCTATCGATGCCTACCAACTGCGTACAAAACCCCACCCTTCCCCACCCCCCTCCCATCTCCCCTCCTCCCTCGCGTCCCCTGCAGGTCGTCATCAGACGATCTCAAGCTAGCAGCGCTATCTCACTCCATCCCCACCATCTACAGTCTCAACCTGCTCCTGTGTGGTCTCGCCATCGACACCATTGCCTCGCACCCTGAGGCTGCTCTCTCCCCCAATGGCCCCCTCAGCAAGCGAATCAATGACGCCATCACAGCGCCAGACGGGGGGCTCTGGTCCAGCGACCCCTTCTTGTAAGTGTGGGGGTTCTTTGCGGGATATATTGACACCTTTGCCTGGCTGCTCTCTCCACCAACGGCCTTCTCAGCATGTGAATCAACAATGCTATCAGGGCGTTCTCCTACGTGACACAATGTCACGCTACTTTGTGTCAAATTTGTATTGACGGGCAAAACCCCGAATGTCACGATGTTGCCTGACATCGTGTCACGTTGGAACACACCCTCACAGCGCCAGACGAAGAGCTCTGGTCTAACGAGACTTCCTTGTAAGCGTCCTCTTCTCACGTCTGTCCCTTCACTTTCACCTCTATCACCCCTCTCTCTAAAGGCCACCCTTGTGACTGCCAATTCCCCTTGTCCTCTCTTCCCTTATTCTCGCCCCTTCCTTTCTGACTTCCTTTTCCCCACCATTGCATTCTCTTGTCCAGGCTGGTCTATGGTGCTCTCCGTTGTGTTGCTCGCTTCTTCAGCCACCAACCCCTTATTGAGGTATGCCATACCATCACATCACATCGCATCACATCACATCACATCACATCACATCACATCACATCGCATCACATCACATCACATCACATCACATCACATCACATCACACCACACCACACCACACCACACCACATCACATCACATCACATCACACCACACCACACCACACCACTCCACATCACATCACATCACATCACATCACATCACATCACATCAGCAACCATGCATCTAGGTACACCATTTTACCAGGTTTCGTTTGATTGGTTTCTGGGGGAAAAAGAATAAGAAGAAAAAAACGAGTGCTGCTAACATTTCATCACCTTCTCCCTGCCCGTTTGTTGTGGGAGGGGAACGCAACACATGTGCAAGGAGTCTATTTTTTAGGCGCCTGAAAAAAAGCAGCACATGTGCAAGGAGTCTATTTTTGAGGCGCCTAAAAAAAATCAACACATGTGCAAGGAGTCTATTTTTGAGGCGCCTCAAGAAAAGCAACACATGTGCGCAATTTGACCCCCTTCCCTAAGCGCCCCCTTCTCTTCTACCTCCTCCATTTCACACCTCCCTCCGTCCCTCCTCAGATTCTTTTGAATGGAATCTAAAGGCACCACCCGACCCCCTTCCCCAAGGGCTCCCTTCGCTTCTGCCTTCCATTTTACACCTCCCTCCGGCCCCCTCAGATTCTCGAGACCTTTTCACCCGACGAGGGGGAGAGTGAGCGAAAGGAGCAGGCAGGCGGGGCGGGAGGGGCCAAGGACAGCGAGCAGGGAGGCAGTGAGCTTGACACCAGTATGGGGCAGCTGTTGGTGCTGTATCGCTTGATGCAAGCTCTTATGGCGGCCACTTTGAATGCCGGGGAGAGCTCGCACGGTGTGGAGGTGGGTTGAGGGGGGGGGGGGGAGGGGGGAGTGGCGGGAGGAGTGGGGGAGGTTACACTGGCAGGAAGGGAGGCAGCGAGCTTGATACCAGCATGAGTTCAGGGTTTTGGCGCTATCAGTGCTGTATTGGCTTGGCTCATGGAAGGCCTTATGGGGGCGAATTCTTGAATGCCAGGGAGAGCGTGCATGGTGTGGAGGTGAGTGAGGGGTTATGGAGGGGAGGGGGGAGAGGAGAGGGAGTGGGAGAGGTGACACCGGCAGGCAGGGAGGCAGTGAGCTTGATACTAATATGGGGCAGCTATTGGTGCTGTTTCAGCTGATGGAAGGTCTTATGGGAGCCACTTTGAATGCAGGGGAGAGCTTCCACGGTGTGGAGGTGAGCTGGGGGTGATATGGGGAGGAGGAGACCATGGCTGGCAGGCAGGGGGGCAGTGAGTGTGAGACCAGTGCTGGCAGGAAGATTGGACGTGGGCAACCAGGGGTGGTTGGTAGCAGAGTGAGACGATTTTTGCTCAAGCAATTCTCTTAGTAATGCTACCCTTCCAACCATGAGGAACGAACAGTGGAAGGGGACAAGCAGGGGTGGTTGGTAGCAGAGCGAGGCTCTTTTAGAATTCTGAATAATGACTCCTCTATATAGCAGGGGTTTGTACAAACTTTGATCCTGCAGATTCGACCAAGTGTCAACCACTTGTGGTCCCGTTTTGCCACTGCAAATGCTGTATTTCCTGGATGAGAAACACATCCCGCTTGTTATGTGGATGCGTTTTTCACCCGGGCTGTGTTTCGGGCTGTGTTTCGAGCTGTGTTTCGAGGCTGTGTTTTGGCCCCTCAACACACGGTTACAGGTGACCCCTACTTTCGCCTGCAGGTGCCATTTAAGTCGACTCAAAAGCTAATTTGTGACCCCTGCTTTCCCCTGCAGGTGCTGTATGTTGAAGCATTTCTCACCCGAGCTGTGGAATGCATAGCTTGTACAGATACATCACAACTACTTCCTTCCCCTCCCTCCCCCTCCCCCCTCCTTGTCCCACTGCAGGTGCTGTATGTTGAAGCGTTTCTCACCCGAGCTGTGGAGTGCAACAGCGTTTACAAGTACATCACAGATGCTGCTCTTATCTGCCATGCAACGAGCGTGGAAGGGAGGTAAGAGATGGTGTATGTTTATATCACAGACGCTGCTCCTATAGTTGCGTCACACATGCATCTCAATTTGTCCTCTGCGCCCACCTCTTTCGTTTACGAGCAGATTCCGAATTACTGGCAGAGAGAACATGTACATTATCCCGCCCTTTCCTGTGATAATGTTCTTGAGAATTCTAAAAAAACTATCCCAGCTCCCCTGACCTCTACGGCCAAATCTTCCATTGACGAACAAATTCTGATTTTTGGGCAGAACATACTCTAGATATGATCCCGCTCTTCCTTGACCTCCATCCCACCCCTCCTCTTCTTCCTCCCCCCCACCTGCCTCTCCCAACCACTGTCTTTGTTGTTCTAGTCACACCAAGACTCTTCCTTACTCTGCCATGGTTAAGTATTTCAGTTTTGAGATGTCTCAAAACTAAACTACTTAACCACGCCCTCCTGCCTACCTCTCCCAAACACTGTCTTTGTTGTTGTAGTCGCACCAAGACTCTTCCTTACTCTGCCTTCCCCAAAGCATTCTTGTCTCCAGCACAGCACACACACAGATGAATGAAGTGAAGAGCACACATCGTTCCTCCCTTGGGCTGAGGGTGATTTTTGAGTCACGTCATTTTTGTCCGCAGCTTAGCCCCGCCTGCCTCTCCAGCACCTGCACATCATTCTTGTTGTAAAATATATATCTATACAACATGCATGCCTAGATTAGGAGGTGTAGTCATTATAATTATTGGGGGGTTGTTGGTTGGGTTGACCAACCCCACATTTGGGTTGGTCAAGATTGGATTTGGTCCTAGACATTTGGTTGGCACTATTCCAACCAAATGGTCTTTGGTCCTAGGAACCAACCAATCACCAAGCACCACACTTTGTGGTTGCTTGCCTTCCAAGCAATCTCTCTCATTGGTCCACATTGTGACCAATAGGAGAGCACCACACTTTTGTGGTTGCTTGCCCTACAAGCAACCTCCCCCATTGGTCCACTTTATGGCCAATAGGAGAGCTTCCCTTCCAACTCTTCCTTGCTCCTTGTTTTGTACAAAAAGAGCCTCTTGGCTCCCTACTCAATTCAATCTTTTCTCTTCCAAGCTAGTTCCTTCAATTCTTTGGTCTGAGGCGTCTCAAATCGCACCCCAAGACTCTCCCTTTCTCTGCCCCCCCCATAACATTCTTCTCTCCAGCGCGCACACACCTGACCTGGAGGCAACAATTGCATGGCAGCTGGACCGTTTCCAGGAAGCTTCCTCTGCAGCTCGAGCCGTCATCCTGCTTATACTCTCTAAGGTAGTAATCTCGCCCCAGCTGCTGCATGGCTGAGCTCATACTCGCCCCAGCTGCTGCATGGCTCAGCTCATACTCGCCCCAGCAGCTGGGGCTGCTGCATGGCTCAGCTCATACTCGCCCCAGCAGCTGGGGCTGCTGCATGGCTCAGCTCATACTCGCCCCAGCTGCTGCATGGCTCAGCTCATACTCGCCCCAGCAGCTGGGGCTGCTGCATGGCTCAGCTCATACTCGCCCCAGCAGCTGGGGCTGCTGCATGGCTCAGCTCATACTCGCCCAATCTGCTGTCTTATGGCTTTAAGGTGATTCCATTGTTTCACAGGCTCGAGTTCTCCCACCCCCTATTACCCAGTCCCTTGCGACTATCACCGCCTAAACCCTGCTGCTGCTCTCTCTTTGCAATGCTCACATGCCACTCTTTATCACTCCGCCCAAACCTCCCCACGTTGATTTCGCAGGGTGCTTTTTAGAATAAAGAATATCTCCCTAGGATGCTCAACTGCCACTTTTTATCACCACACCCAGATTCCCCGCCTCTTAGTCTCTATGTTATGAGTCGATTCTTGAGTCGACTAAAAAATGGACTCAGAACACACAGATTCCCTGCCTCTTAGTCTCTATGTTATGAGTCGATTCTTGAGTCGACTAAAAAATGGACTCAGAACACACAGATTCCCGGCCTCTTGGTCTCTATGTTGTGAGTCGATTCTTGAGGCGCCTCAAGAATCCCCTGGGACCCCACCCCTGGAACACCACCCCTGGAGCACCACCCCCTGGATCACCACCCCTGGGACCCCGAGCCTCTTGTACCTTCCTCCCCTCTTTCTCATTCCTGCGAGCACCTCCCCTGGTCCCCTTTGAGACGCCTCAAAACCAGACTTCGCACACGCAGCCCCCCTGATAATTATCTAGTTTTGAGGCGCCTCAAAGCTGATACTTATCTAGTTTTGAGACCCCTCGAAACGCAGACGCCCCCCTGTCCCCCTCCCCACCATCATCCCCCGTGTCCCCTCCCGCTGTTGCATCGGGTTTCCTCTGCTGCCTCATTGCAAGACTTGTATCATCGTCACCCATTTTTAGGCACCTTCAATAAGTATCACGATAACCCCTTCTCCCACTCCCCTTTCCTGTTCCTTCTACCCTTGCAGCTGCCCCACTCCCCCTCCCTGCCCTCACCTCCCGTGCTGCATCGGATTCTCTCCACCGCCTCTCTCTCCCTGCAAGACTCAAGCGCCATGGTGTCCCGTGCTGCTACGCTCTGCTTTGGAGATGTCTCAAACCCCACTCCCCTTTCCTTTTCCTTCTACCCTTGCAGCTGCCCCAGTCCACCGCCCCACTACCCCCCACCGTGCTGCATCGAATTCTCTCCACCGCCTCTCTCTCCCTGCAAGACTCAAGCGCCATGGTATCGCTTGCTGCTACCATCTGCAGCCATCAGGTATGGCACATGGCACATGGCATAACCCGTACATGGCGCATTGCGCATGGCACGTGGCACATGGCACATGGCATAAGTCATAGGCCGGGCAGCATGGCAAACACGGGGAATATGGCAATGTAACAGCATGGGCAGTATAGCAAACACGGGGAGTATGGCAATGTAATGGCACTGTGACATGCACAACCATAGCACTGTAGCGCCATCGTGTCCCTTGCCTGCTGCTACGCTCTGCACCGATGCGGTATGCTGTGGCATCATGGCACCATAGCATACTAGCGTGATAGGACGATAGTAGCAAGGGATGCTTTAGCACCATAGCATCCCTTGCCGCTGCTCTCTGCACCCATGCGCACTATAGACCCCATAGATCACACACATAGCAGCAGCATGTTTGTAGCATCATTCCTCTATGTGTCAGCATGTTCGCTCTTGTTGAAAAACAGCACACGTTGTCTTGTATCTGCTGTTCTTACCCTGCCTGCTCCTCTCGTTGCTGAGCTGCTGGCTTTGCCCTTCCACTTCCCCCTGACTGCTCCTCTCTCCGCATCCTTCCCTCAACGCTTCTCCCCTTTCTCTCCCCGTCCCATTACCCAGCGTGCGCCTCTTTTTCCCCTTTGCGCCCTCATCCCCTCCGCAGTGCAGCTTCCCAGCCGTTGAGTCCACTCCAAAGCAGACTCCACTCCCTCATCCCGTCCTCCCCACCCCCTTCCCCCTCCTCCCGGTTTCCACCCTGTACACCCCCCAGTGCCTTTCGCAGTGCAGCTTCCCAGCCCGTCAGCCGCTGCCAGCTGTCACCATCCTCCAATCGGCGAGGGCTATCTTGGTAATGTCTGATCGAGAGTGTGAAACATGCATGGGCTTCTGCATAAAATTTTCCCATATCCCACCAACACGGGCATGCGCCTGGCCATCACACAGTCTACAGAAGCATGCAACACGGGCATGCGCCTGGCCATCACACAGTCTACAGAAGCATGCAACATGGGCATGCGCCTGGCCATCACACAGTCTACAGAAGCATGCAACACGGGCATGCGCCTGGCCATCACACAGTCTACAGAAGCATGCAACACGGGCATGCGCCTGGCCATCACACAATCTACAGAAGCATGCAACACGGGCATGCGCCTGGCCATCACACAGTCTACAGAAGCATGCAACACGGGCATGCGCCTGCGGAGCCTCTAAGCTCACTCGAATCTCACATGCATTCCTCTCGTCCCTTAATCTTTTCTGCAGAAGAGCCGTGATTCCACAGCCCAAGCAGCAGCAGCATGGATGGCAGGCGCCTTGGCCGCATGCCTCTTAAACCAGCAGCAGCAGCAGCAGCAGCAGCAGCAAAGCAGCAACGATTCACAGCAGCAGAGTGAGGAGAGCGGGAGCACAGGAGCTCACACATACATCACATCTGAGCCTTGCTTGGCTGCCGAGCCATTACCCTCCGTTGAAGATCTCAAACCCGAGGTGGGTGGGTAGGAAGGCCGTTTCAGATTCTTTACACCAGAACATTCTGGTTTTTTTTTTTTTTTTTTTTGGGGGGGGGTGTTTATTTTGTGCTGTTTGAGGGAATGACTGTTTTCTGTGCAGAGATGATTTAGGTGACATTTTTTATTCGGTTCCAGACACTTGTTATTTGAAAAATCGGCTTCTGAATGGGCTTCTGAGACATGCTGTACCAAAACGGGCTTCTGAATGCTTCAGGGGCTGAGAAGCCGGTAATTCCAAAGAGCTTGACTTGCTGATTCCATGTATCTTGTTGTTTGCTGTTATATCCTGTCTATTTGTGTTCAATCTTGTGAACTGTTCTCTGTCTTGTTAATTCCTTGGCCGTTTTCCACTCATCTCGTCCTGTTGTATTTTCCTCCTCTCAGCTTCTGCCTGATTATTTTTCCTTGCCACTCTCAAAGCCATTTCAACATACCTGACCATGCGATCTGCTGTGGTGGGTGCATGCCGAGCCTGTTGCTCAGGTTCGGGAGACAATGGCAGCCATGTGGTTCCTCTCAGACCAACAACCGGATAGAGTCACGCATGCGTGCAAGGTGCGAAGGGATTAGACTGATCCGATACATACCACTACTTTAAATGAAAATCTTGAGTTGCTACGCCTGACTCCACCGGCCTGCTCCTCGTTTCAATACCTTCCAGCCTCCTTCCAACTTTTTTTCTTTTTTTTTGGACCTGCCCTCGATCTCCCTGCTGCTGTAGGCATGCTCGTATCGCCTGGGTCAGCTACTGTTGCCCAATCAAGGCGCTGAATGCACCCACCAACTAGCCACGTAAGTCGGGAAGTCTTAACCGTCCATGTGGGCCTGCCGAATCTCGGCCATGCGCGTTTTTTTTCCCTAAAAGGTGAAGCTAGAGAAAAAGTGAATCTAGAGAAAAGGTGTAACTAGAAAAAGGTGAAGCTAGAGAAAAGGTGAAGCCAGAGAAAAGGTGAAGCTAGAGAAAAGGTGAAGCCAGAGAAAAGGTGAAGCCAGAGAAAAGGTGAAGCTAGAGAAAAGGTGAAGCCAGAGAAAAGGTGAAGCCAGAGAAAAGGTGAAGCTAGAGAAAAAGGGCGTCAGCCTTTGTCTCTAGCTTCGCCTTCCACCATCTTACCAGACTTGACTGCCAACTATCCCAGGTCAACCTAAAATGCCAGCACCCTTCCCAGCAACTAAAGGGATGCCCTGTCCTCACATCCAAACACATGGCGCGCTCTCCATGTGCCCTTTCGTCTTCTCCTCATGGACTATTGCTTTTGAGCCGGCTCAAAAACACATGGCGCGCTCTCCATGTGCCCTTTCGTCTTCTCCCCATGGAATGTTGCTGAAGAGATCCCCTCCCCCCAATCTCCCCTCCCCCCAATCTCTCCTCGTCTGCGTGCATCGCTTCCTTCCCCCCTCCTACTTTTCGTCGCCATAATCTTCAGGAGCTCCCCTCTCTTCTCACACAGCTTCTATCAGTATCTGTCGCACGACTTGGTGTCGAATTTCGACACGTACACTGGATTTGCACTGGAGGTGAGTACACCTTTTAACATAGTGAACAGGGATACGAGCTTACCTTTTATATATGGCATTTGCCTCTAAAACTTCTCTTGGTCAGCATACATGCAGGCAAGCTGCTGTTGAATTGATTTGCACAGTAAGCATGCATGCACCTACTATTCTGAGACCCTGTTGCTTCGTTTGTGCTTCACTATTTTCAAAACATCGATTGTGGGCATTTTAAAAATAACAGTCGCGCTCCCACCACTCTCATTCAATCCTTCCATACTGCCCCTGCCATTCCCCCTCTACAGGCACTCTCCAACCCCTCAGACTCCGTTAAAATCACAGCAATAGCTTTTTTCACTGGCCTCATTCGATTCGTCGCGGAAAATAGATCATCACTTGGGAAGGCTGTATCAGATCCCACAACAAGTAGTGCATCCGGCTCCTGCCTTCAAGCTACAAGCCCCTTGCCTTCCACTGCTTCGTTTGCCATCCCTGTGGCTCTCACTAAAGCGCTTTCTCAACTACTAAAGAAGTCTCCAAATGCGGCGCTTAGATCAGTGGCAGCATCGTCATTAGGAGAGATCCTCCGCTTGTCATTGAAGAAAGAGAAGGCAAGTGCCTAATGGCGAGTTTTAGAACGCCTAGAACTTGCGGTTTGGTAGTCACGAAAGGATGGGGTAGAAACATGAGTTGCATTCAGGTTCCTTAGGAGTGGAAATCTTATGATTTGTGTGCATCCTAACATACTATCCGAATGGAAACTTACAGCAATGCGTTCAGATTTGCGGTTCGTTTACAATACCGGGTCACATTTGAGTGTAGTCTGTACCACAGTAAAGATCCAAGCGTCACCGCAATTGGTGCTTTCCCTGCTGATTGCCCGTCATCTCTACTCCAATCACCGTCAATCTGAGTCACAGCGTAGCAAAAAGTTGCCAGCAAACCGTCGTCGGCGAATGCGAGGGGTTGCTCGTTGCCTCCCTGTTAAGGCTGCTCTCTCTTATTGGTCAAAGCCAGCACAAGTAACTGCGCGTCAAGGTTTGGGTTTCGCGAATAAACAGCTAGCTGTTAGCATCACGCCATCTCACGTGCGCACTCGAGCCGCGATGGCTTCAAGGTTCGCCGACATCAAGACCATGTCCAGCGCATCGCGCTTCGGGAAAAAAAATTCGGTGGAGCATTCTCGTGAAAACCAGTTTGCATGATTTCAGGCAAAACCGAGCACTAACGCTTCGAACCGTTTACAAAAGGCAGAACACCGTTCTGTACCTTACTGATCGAGATAAAATTCAGCTCAACTTCATGAAGGTGCGATGGGGGAAAATCAAACCTGGTCCAAACCAGTCCAGGTGCCTTCGAATTGGTGGGGGGGGGGGGGGGGGATGGAAGATAGCATAAATCCATTGCTGTCGCGTTCACTTTGTCGAGAATAGCTTATCCATTTCTCCAGTCACTTCAATCCTGCTTCTTAGGCCTCCTCTATTATAACCTTCCTTTCCCCTTTTCTCGTTCTCGTACTATTATCTGCCTCAACCCGTAGCCTTCATTGGACTCCAGTAACAACAGGCATGGACTCGAGTCGCCTATCACCGACGTCGCCGTTAACGCCTGACCGCTCCTGGTCCCAGCCGTCATCTAGTAAAACAACTCAATCTCCCCACCCATCGGAAATTCTCCCATCTCCCGACTCAGACGTGTCAGATTCCGATTTGAGCGCTCCAAAACTTCCCCGGGAATCTCGCGGCGCCGCGGGAGTCTCGACAATATCAAGGTTGTGGGGCGGCGGTGCCAGCGCGGCAGCCACTGCGGTACCACCATGCGGCCGTCAGGCGTGCGGATTTGACGGGCCGGCAGCTTATAGCCGGCCGTTGACGGGCGACGAGGAGCTGTGGTGGCGCGCGATGCACGGCGGCACCGGCGTCTGCGTCGTCGGGCTGCAGATTGCCGGCCACGTCAGCATGGACGAGGTAGGACGTCAGCATGCACGAGATAGGACGTCAGCATGGACGAGGTAGGACGTCAGCATGGACGAGGTAGGACATTCATCCTTTAACGCAGTGCATCGCTTGAAACGAACAGATAGCAGGCCAAGTCAGCAGGCGAGGTACTAGTACCGCGCCGGAGATCCCTCGGTGGTAGTCCCTGTCTCTTTCCATCCTTCCATCCTTCCATCCTTCCATTCGTTACCCACCGAATGGAAGGAATGGAAGGATGGAAAGAGACCCCCACCCCATTTCGCTCCACATCACCCTTCAAACCCCTTCTCCCCTTCCCCTGCTATTCTCTGCTTTCTGCTCTCGCATTTCTCCACAGGTTCGGGCAGCTCTCAAATCTTTATCTGCCCGGCACCCTGTCCTGTCCGCCCGGATATTCAAGCCGCCCAAGTCGCACCGCCCGGAGCTCCACGTGTGCCGACCTCCCCAGCCAATCACAGTACGCGAGCGCAACGTTGATGACGTGGCAATCGGCGAGACTTCAACGGATCCAAGAAGATCCGGATCCAATCCGGTGAAGGATTCGGATTTTCATGCTGACGTGGCGTCTCGGAATGGCTTGCTGCATCGGGTGGTTGAAGCAGAGCTGAACACGCCCATGATGGACGGTCAGGGAGACACGTGCGTTGACGTGTTCCAGGTCCACGTGTACGCGTCCCATTCGAACGGGACGCTTGTCGTGCTCCGGTCGCACATCGCCGCCCTGGACGAGCACTCGGCGCCGCCCATCGCGGCGGGATTCCTGGAAGAGCTGCGACGCGCAAAGGCCGAAATCAACCGCACTCTCTCTTCCTCCTCCCCCTCCTACTCCTCTTCCTCTCCCACCTCCTCTCCTCTCTCCCCCCACCAAGATAAAACAGCGCCGCCCTCCCTCCCTCCTCCCCTCGTGGCGCTCCTCCCAAAGTCACTCTCCGTTAAGAGCGCCTCCGTTAAAGGCACATTCGCGCAAGCCTTCAACGCCGTTGGCTACGTGCGCAACGCCCTCGTTTCCTCGCACCTTCCTTTCGAGCCCGGGCGAGCTGATTCAAGGAAGAACTCGTTTAGGACGCGATTCGTTACAGTCGCATTCACTAGAGAGGGTAAGCTGCTCTCAAGCCCCAACAAAAATCCGTCCGTTTTTTTTTTTTTTTTCTTATTTTCTTTTGTTCTTTCTCTCTCTCTTTGTGTAAATATTCCCTTACCACCCCCCGATTCCCCAAACTTACCCGCTTTTCCTCCCCCCTTCTCTCTCCAACGTTCACTTTCCATGACCACAAAACGACAGAAACTGCCGCCCTTCTGGCTGCAGCGGAGTCGCACGGGTGCTCGCTCTTCTCCCTAGAGTGCGCAGCGGGGCTCAAAGCTGCCGCCCGGATGAAGCAACTGGGCGGCAGAACTGAAATATTCAGCTTGGGAAGGTGAGCTGCTTGCCACGATGGCACACACGCAATGACTGCGCAATGCCGAATACATGTCCGTGCTGCCACTCAACCTTCCCCCTCCGCTCTCCTCCATTTCCCCTTCTTTTCTGCCGAATCATCATTGTTCGTCGCAGCTCTATAGGCCGCCGGCCGTTAGTCGACCCGCCCCTCCCCCCCACAGAGTTGGGCGAGTACATGTCTATGCTGCCGCCCACTGTCCCCCCGTTCCGTCTGTCAGTGCCATTGGCTGCCGGGTTATCCTCGACCCACCCCTTCCCCCCAACAGCGTTGGGCCCCCAACAGCGTTGGGCCCCCAACAGCGTTGGGGGAGTACATGGCTATGCTGCCGCGCAAGCAGGGGGTTACACACTGTCCCACCTTCCATCTCTCCCCTCTCTCCCCTGTCTTCCCTGTCTTCCCCCCCGTTCCCCCCGTTCCGTCTATCAGCGCCATTGGCTGTCGGGCAATCCTCGAACCGCCCCTTCCCTCCACCGCCTTGGGCGAGTACATGTCCATGCTGCCACTCAAGCAGGAGGTTTGCCACTCACCCTCCCTCCCCCTCCTTCCCTCTCTTCTCCTCCTATTTCTGCCCCATGCAGTGCCATTGGTTGCCGGGCTATACTGGACCCGCCCCTTCCCTCCACCGCATTGGGAGAATACATGTCCATGCTGCCACTCAAGCAGGAGGTTTCCGAGAAGCTGCCCTTCTGGGACGTTGCCACGTCAATCAGCGCCCGCGCTGAGTCAGCACTGCAGCGGCAGCAGCAGTTCACAGACATGCCTGTGCTCGAGCTGCTATTTTCCACTGTGAGTGAGGGGGATGGGTGTGGGGAAGGGCTTTCTTCTCTTTCTGGTTTGAGGCTTCGAGTCTAGGCCTCATGGGCTGAGTCAGCGCTGCAGAGGCAGCAGCAGTTCACAGACATGCCGGTGCTCGAGCAGCTGTTTTCCACAGTGGGTGCATAAGGGTGCATGATTTGGGGTTTCAATGGGTAAAACAGGTCCAAATTACATACATTTGAGTACACTACTGCTGCATTAATAAGCGGTTATATGTTCCACTTCTCCTGTGTTCTGTGCTCGTTGCTCTCTCTCCTCACTGGGCTCTCTTCCACCCCTCCTTTCCAGGCCATGAAAATGCCGAGCCTCTCCCCGGACCACTCCCTCCGAACCTGCTTCCTCACAGCTGGCATGCTTGCACCCCTCAGGGTTGACTGGCAGCTGTCTGCTGCAGATGCCACTTCTGCCACTTCTCGCACAGATCTTCACAGAAGTGAGAGTGGTAACACCCGCAGCATCAGCAGCTGCACCAGCAGCCCCAGCAGCAGCCCCACCAACAGCACTGAGTCTCACAAGCAGCAGCAGCAGCAGCAGGTGCATCTGGAGCACGTGCAACTGGAGGAGGTGCAACTGGAGCAGGTGCATCTGGAGCATGTGTTAGGGCCAGTGGTTTCAGCGCATGGGGTCGGACCCGCCATTGCCATCCCAGACACCCTTTCGGTAAGTGACCCACATTTGCCACTGGCACGAAGGAGCTCGCATGTTCCTCGGCTTCTTTTGGCCTCAATTTCCTTTTATCTCAAATAAGCGGATAGTTACATACGTACGTCTCTGGGTCCATTTGTAACAGTTACACCATAGAGCTCATCGTTCTCCCCCTGAATCCTGTGAATCTTATGAATCCCCTCTTTGCAGGACGGCGTCCTTCGCCTGAGCTTCGTTTTTGTCACACCCCTCTTTACTCACGAGCGCATGTCCACATTCGCTGCGCTCACAAGAGACTTCCTGCTTGAAGCTGCCGCCTCATGAGTCATGAGTCACAACTAGTGATCTGGATTGGCACAAGGTGTAATTCCTCGCACTCACGAGGGCGTGTCCACATTTGCTGGACTCACAAGGGACTTCCCTGCTGGAAGCTGCAGCCTTGTGATCTCTACACCACTTGGTAAATGTACTTTGTTGTACAATAAAAGCTGTGTCTAAATCCGATTATTTCACGTCACTGCTCTAGCGACAGGGGAACGTAGGGGAGGTTCAGATGCAGGACCATAAGAGGGCCGCCAGTGCCAGTGACCCCCTTCAACCCCTCCCCTGTACCCTCCCTGCTGCTGCGACCCCATTCCTCTCACTCCCTGCTGCTCCCCCCCTCTCTCTCCCTGCCCTTGACCTGGCGTTCTTGGAGTGCTGGGGTTGCTGGCGTGAGAGGGAGGATGACTGGGACTCAGACCAAATGCTCCTGCACCTGGGTGGTTCTGATAGCCATAAGGGTAGGATGGCCTTGCATAGGGGTGCGGGTACCCAGGTGGGTGATGTGATAGTTGGTGCGATGGTTGGTGGGATGGGTAGTGGGATGGATGGGGCATGTGGGATGGATGGGGCATAGGGGAGGGGTAATGCGGCATGGAGGCGGGATGTGAGGGCATGGATGGGTGAGGACCGTGGGGCATGTAAGAGTGTGGTTGCATGGATGGGGATGGAGAGTGGGGGGAGTAAGGCCCCCATGGGGAAGAATTCGAGTGCAGCTGAGTGGGGGTGGAAGGGTGGGAGGGAGTGTGGGGGTAGGAGGGTGGAGGGTGGGAGGGGTAGGAGGGAGTGCGTGGGGACTGAAGATGCGAGGAGAGGGACGAACCTCCCAAGTGGTTTGGGTCGGACCGAAGGTTCAAGGGAGAGGAAGGGTGGGAAGGGGACGATAGGTGGGATGGAGTGGAAGGGCGCGACGATGTTGCATATGAGCTGTATTGAGGGTAACCTTGGGAATACCCTGGGGTAAACCCTTGGGAAAACCCCTGAGCAGGCTGGTCACGGAACGAGCCTTCAGCACGCATGGGATGACCATGAGAGGAATTCCGATCAGATGCAGCCCTATCCACAGCAGAAACCCTCCTTTCACCCAACTCCCTTCTCTCTCCCATCCCACTCTCCATGTCCCATCTCTCATCCCCAGACTTCCCCCCTGATGCACCCTTTCCTCCTCCTCCTCCTCCTCCCCCTCCCCTCCCATCTCTGAACCCTCTCTCCCCCCTCCCTCCGACTCCTGCTCGGCCCAACCAGCTCCTAGGCGTCTTTCCCTTCCGCTCCTCCCCCATGTGTTGGAGCTCCGGCGGTTGTGTCTCAGCAAACACTTCAGTGGACTTAGAGCCGTCTGAGAGGCCTACTGACTTGAAGCTACTAAAGACGCTGATTGATTTAGAGCTCGAAGAGGAGTTACTCTTTGCTGCGAGGAGGGATGGTGGCTTGAAGAACGGACGAGGGGGGGATTCGAAGTCGGGGACGTACTTGTCGACCTGGAAAGGGGTGCAGTGCGGTGGAACGGGGTGACGACGGGCGGGGAGCGATGGAGGTCGTGGTTGTAGCTTGGGGAAGAGACAATACGGAACGGAGCGAGCGATGGCGGGGAGGAGGATGGACGAAAGAGTACCCGGAAAACAGCAACCATGAACTACCTCCGAATCACAAAGGCGAATTCTCGAGTGTTTCAACACACAAAGACGATACCTTGAGCTTCTCTGGTGGTTCCCTGGCGGCGATCAGCACGCCGGCCACGAAGGAGCACGAACACGCGAGGATACCCAACCCGCAGATTAGCGACTGGCACGTGGTGGCTGTAGCCATCGGCAAAGGTAGATTGCGATTTTATTGCGTTTCAAGGACGGCTCGGAAAGAATAATAGTAATCAATAAATAGCAACGAGAAGTTGCAGACTTCTCTTAAACACGCTCTGTGTATATGTACAAGCCACGAGGCGAAGCGAGACTTGCTACACGTGAGGACAGTTGGCGGAAGCAATGCCGCCAGGTGACGGCCGCACCGCGAGCACCGCGACGATACTAACAAGTATTAGACTCTATGTTGGTGGGGATTATGGCAGGCCGATCAGCCTAAAAACTCCTGGTTGGTGGAGAAACAGCCTTGGGATTCCTGCCCGCAACGAACCAGTGTGGCTCGGGGAGGGAAGCCTTGGGATTGGTCCGGCCCAGAGCTTGATGCGTCTGGTCTGATGCATTCCCAGGGAACCCAGACGAGCGCGTTAGTGGACTGAACCGAACTTCAAATCGGTACCACCATATGCTTTGGATTAGGGAAAGTACACCCGCGCTCAGTATTAGGGTCCCCGCTATTAAGTACGGTCAAGGGAACGCTATAAACAATCATAATTAGTGAGTTCGTCACACGGCTAGTAAGTCGGGTTCCACGTTTAGTCAGTGACTGCTGGTAAAAATTTATACGAATGGTCAGTGGATGTAACCCCCGCCCATTTTGGGCAGTTTTCCCGCTCGCGGTAGCCCAACAACCAAACGACTGTAATAATTGCGGGGGGCGAGATTTTTTTCGCGCTAGCCTGGCGCTCCACATTTCGCCCTCACTCCAACCCTCGGTACTGTACATTTCGCCCTCCTCCAACGCTTGGCACTGTATATTTCGCCCTCACTCCAATGCTCGGTACTGTACATTTCGCCCTCACTACAGTTCCAATTCCAAGCATTGGAGTGAGGACGAAATGTACAGTACCAAGAATTGGTGTGAGGACGAAATGTACAGTGCCAAGCGTTGGAGGAGGGCGAAATGTACAGTACCAAGGGTTGGAGTGAGGGCGAAATGTGCAGCGCCAAGCTGGCGCAAAAAAAATCTCGCCCCCCGCAATTATTACAGTCGTTTGGTTGTTGGGCTGCCGCGAGCGGGAAAACTGCCCAAAATGGGCGGGGGTTACGTCCACTGACCATTCGTAGAAATTTTTACCAGCAGTCACTGACTAAACGTGGAACCCGACTGACTAGCCGTGTGACGAACTCACTAATTCTGATTTTCTATAGCATTCCACTGACCGTACGTAATAGCGGGGACCCTAATACTGAGCGAGGATGTACTTTCCCTTTGGATTAAGATCAATTTGAAGTTGTTTCCGTACATAACTTAACGGAGGACAATAAAATGGAAGTGTTTGGGATTTTGCGGTGCATTGAAGGTTGGAAACAAGGGAACATGTGATATTGAAAGGCATATTCACTTGCAAAATTCTATTAATTGTGCAGCATTTGTGGGCATCCGACAATGCTCCATATGAGGACTGGTACAATCGTGCGTTCTTATTGGTAATGGCACCGCACATCCTCATTACAAGGTTGGTCCCACACATACTCAGCCCTGTTGACTCGGGGAAACTTTGACCAATCAGCCCCCCGTAATTCGCCCCTTCGCCCACAAGTCACATCACGTCTCGTTTACGGCACTCGACACCCGTAACCCCACTTCGCCATCACTTCGCGGTTTCTGGAGAGCTGATCCCGAGCCGCACGTCCGAACCGCATGTCGGACCCTGAAACATCGAAATATATTTGCAGGGACCAGCATTCACCACAAGCAGTTTTCATCCTCTCCAAAATTCGAAATTCAAGTCTAGTGCCCTCAGCATAACTTCCATAACTACCAGTTAAATTCGACGTTACAGCTGCAAGTTTCCTCACTCGTATGCCACAGAACTCGCGCACTAGGCTTCAGTGCGCAATCATGGTGAATCCACGGCTCTTCGCGGTACCACTGGTTATCTTCCTCGTCGTCGGCGCTTGCACAGCATCAAGCCATCCTCACCCTGCATCCCGCAGTGGCCCGGCTACTACCAGCAGAACCGGTAGTGGCGAGCGACGTTCTACTGCTGTGAGCGACGATGCAGTTTCATGGAAGCATTCAATCCCGCATTCCAAAGCGCGCCGATCTCACGCCAAGGCGGAGGGACGGGTGGCGGAGCCCCTCGTGTTTTCTTCTGCAGATAACGAGCCATCACGGTCTGGTCTGAACGTGCCGCACTCTGGTCTGAACGTGCCGCACTCCTCCCCGAAGAGATTTCACGCTAGTGGTGCCAGTATCCACCAATCGGCTGCTGCCACTAACAACCGTGCTGGTAACCACCTCAACGGAGCGACGCCGGCCCGTCCGAGTGGCGCGCAATTCCGCGTGGCGAGCAGCAGAGACGTGAAAATCAATCGCCCTCAGCCTCAAGGCGCGGCTCACCGCCGTGAGGGAGACCCTCAGCCTCACCCTGAGCGTGCTAGGGAGCCTCGCTTCGTCGGCCAGCGGGGCAGCAACAGTGGCGGCCTGTGGCCGAGGAGCCACAGGCAGGCCAAGGGCGGCAGCGGCAGCGGCGGTAATGATGATGGCGTGGCTCAGGGTGGGGCTTCGTTCCACCACTGGCAGCGTGGCTCGACTAGGAACGAGCATGGCGGCCCGGTGGCGTTTCACAAGGCGGCAGCGCGGGACGTGGTTATTCATAGGATGAATGGTGCTGATAGCAGGTCTAGTTTTGAGGCGCCTCAAAACAAGCGTGGATCGAACAGCCATGATAGCCCCGTGGCTTCGTTTCACAAGGCAGCCGCGAGGGATGTGGTTATTCACAGGAGCACTGGCAGTAATGCTAACGGGGAGAACCGCAGCGCTGCTAATCATGGCGTGAATGTTCACCCAGTTGGGGTGAACATGGGGAATGGTGGCGCGAATCGCGGTGGACAACCCCCAAGGGAGGGGCAATTCACGCATGCTGGGGATGCGATCAAGCCCTCCTATGGGAGGGAATTTCCCTGAAATAATATGTTCTAAAACAAGGATGGCGACAGCAGCAGCAGCAGCAGCAGTGACATAGCAAGTGACTGCCCTGATGGGGGTGATGGTGGTAGTGCGGCTGACGGCAGCAACAGCGGAGGAGGGGACAACAGCAGCGACAGCACCAGCGGCAGCATGGACATCGGGGCGATTCTAGAAGAGCACAACAGGGCGCGCCAGGAGGTGGGGGTTCCGGACCTGGCCTGGGACGACAGCGTGGCAGCAGCAGCGGCGGAGTGGGCCAACAACCTCGCCTCCAGGGGGTGCCGTCTGGAGCATGGAGGGGCGGAGGGGCTCGGGCAGAATCTGTACTGGAGCGCACCCGCAGGGCTCACCCCTGAGGAAGATCGCATGGCGGTGCAGTCGTGGGTGGAGGAGGTGGACTGGACGTACAGCCCGGTGCCTGAGGGGTGTGCGGAGGGGAGGATGTGTGGGCACTACGCGCAGGTGGTGTGGCGGGACACCACGCATGTGGGCTGTGCGTCGGCGCAGTGCCCTGATGGGGGTGGCATGTGGGTGTGTGACTACTCGCCCCCGGGGAACTTCATTGGTGCTCCTCCGTTCTAGGGAGGCTGGTAGGGTACCTGGAAAGAGGTGGTGGTGTGGAGGGATGGGTTTGAGGTTGTGTGCTTATGGGGGTGCTGTGGTTTGCTTGTGCACACTGTTGGATTGGATGCAGTTTTATTTCCAATGTTAGCCTAATATTAGCACAACGAGAGGAGCCTGGTACGGTATTGTATGGGAGGCTCTATTTATTGTATAGGAGCCTATCGCCACTCAATTTATAACCCAAGGACACGTTGAGTGATATGGTCAAACGAGTTAACATCTTGCTTCCATAACCTGCACGAAGAGAAAATTTGAAACATTTCCAGCAATATATTGAAAAATCGGGAAAAGACACGAATGCAGCGATACTAAGGGCGAATTCCTAGCTAGAAAGATCAGGATCAGAAACGCGTGTAACCAAAATGAACTGCACTGAAACGTGATTTACACACTCGCACCGCACATTACCGCATGTTTCTGATCCAACTTGATTCTGATCCTGGTTCGTAGGAATTCGCCTTAAGGCAAGAACACTGATCAAATGCATGACAACATGCAATCCTCCTTAGTCACACACGCACGTCCCCTTGTCTCACCATTATTGTGCAGGGTAGTTTTGAGAATTGTCAAATCACCGTGCACAATCGAAGTCAGGAATAAAGAGGCACGAACACTGATCAAATGCATGACAACATACTGCGGGGAGTTATGAGTCGACTCAAAAGTCATACCGCAATCCTCCCTACTCACACTCACACTTACCCATGTCTCACCATGCATGCAGGCCAGCATCCATGGCGCCCTTCAGGTCGTTCACAGCGTCATCGCCCACATGCACCGCTCGACTGGGGGACGACACGCCTACTTGCTCTTTTGGAGAGGAGAAAACGGGAGCGGGGAAAGTGGTAAAGGGAGGGAGGGAGGGGAAGGAAGAAATGAGCAAAGAGGTTGAGATTCTACAGATATGAACATTCTGACTGACAAAGTACTGTTGCCCCTCTCCTCCCCCCTCCCCTCCCCAAAATCCCTACCATCTCCATCACCCGCCCAGCCACGACAAAACACTACCTACCAAGGGCGATGGAGAATATCTCTGGTGACGGCTTCTCGTATTTAACTTCAGCTGATACGACGATGGCGTCAAAACTGAGGCGGGAAAGGCAAGGCACTGGAAAAAGAGATGAGCAAAGAACCACGGCCTTTCACTGCACCAACCTTGTGTCTAGGACAGAAAAACAAATCTAGAATAAAAATAAAAAGATCTTATAACTCACAGGGAGAATGAAGATGGAAATGTTGGAGAACGATGAACTCACAGGGAGTCTACTTGAAGGTCCTGAAGAATCGGCCGCAATCGAGAGTCAAAGTTGGACACAATTGCCAAACGAACTGGAAGGCAAGGTGGGGAGCAACGAACAGAGGAGAGATGGAGCTGTTAAAGAAACACTTCAGAGAAACGAAGGCTGGGACGAGACCAAGGCTGGAAGAGACGAAGGCTGTATTTAGGGTTTAAGCAGCTTGCGCGATGACAACAGAGGCACTCCAGCTGCCGAGGCTCAGCATTGGCTTGCTTGAGTCTCAAGTGATTTGATTTGGTTTTTGAGAATTCTCAAAAACCATGAGAACAGAGGCACTCCAGCTGCCGTGGCTCACCATTGGCTTGCCTGAGTCTCAAGAGAGCGTCCACTGCGCCATCTGCCACCCGCCACGCCGCTGCCTTCTCATAGTGCTGGGGATGGGTGGGGGGGGAGAGAAGAATGCAGTAAGGACTGTAACGAGTTGGCTCACTAACCACCTGATCCACTGCGCCATCTGCCACTCGCCATGCCGACGCCTTCTCATAGTGCTGGGGGGGGTGCAGCCAAATGAGCGCAGGGCTGACTTGCTTGAGTCTCAGGAAGGAGAGCGTCCACAGAACTATCTGGCACTCTCGAAGCAGACGCCTTCCCATAGTGCTGGGGAAAGGGAGGGGGCCAGGAGAGTTGGTTCTCGGTGTAAGGGGAGTGGTGGTGCAATGGGCGTGGGTTGGGGAGAAGAGGGAGACGGGAAAGTGGAGGAAGGAAATGCAGCAAGGATGAGATGTTTCAAGAATAGAGAACGAAGGGAGAGGGATAAACGAAGGGAGAGGGAGCAGAGAGAATTTAGTACTTGAAGGATTGAGACTTCAAGGCCAGAGACTTAATAGCAGGCTCAAGGCTCAAGCTCTTCAGAACTACCTGGTAGAGGTCTTCAAACAGATCCGGGTTGTCGGACCCTGTTGCCATGGCCACTGCATTTTTCTTGAAGAATCCAAGTTGATCCTAAGGTAAGTCATACCTGGTAGAGGTCTTCAAACAGATCCTGGTTGTCGGACCCTGTTGCTATGGCCACTGCATGCCGCCAAAACGGACGCCCGTCGCCCTGGGATTAAGCGGTGCAGGGGGGAGGGTGAGGCAGGGGGGGAAGTGAGGCAGGGGGGAAGTGAGGCAGGGGGAAGTGGGGCAGAGGAGCGGGCAGGGTGGGATAACTAGGGAGAGAGGCGAGGAACGTAAGCAGAGAATTTTACATTCACAGGTGTCATTACACAATTGCTGCCACGTATTGACACAATGGCACCTATTTGGTGTTCTATTGGGTAACTAGGGGGAGAGGCGAGGAACGTAAGCGGAGAATAATGGGGAGCAGGAGAAGTGAGGGAGTCCACGGTACTTAAAACCATGGTACTTAAAACCATGGTACTTAAAACCATGGTACTTAAGGCCATGATACTTTCGAAAACGAGAACCGCACCTCATATCTCAGGCCATGTGGCCAAGGCTCCGCGAACGCTCGTCTGAATCCCTTCTTTATTTCGTCCGCGGATACAGTCACACCTGATCACACAATTTCGCACTGTAAGTTCAGTGCTTGGAAAGATTTACGTTGAAAACAACACGAAAACCTCGCTCATAACGGACCATATTTCCCGGCGAACGCGGCGTACGTGTCGTGGACCGGCTCGGCGGTTTTCAGCAGCGTCCCTCCGACATCTACAAGCACTGCATCGTATAACGGAGCAGACTGTACCGAAGCAGCACCTAATGCCGTAGCTGATCCTTCTCCAGTAGCAGCCACTGTCCCTCGGGAGGGCCGAGACGCGGAAGCAACGCACGATTGAAACGAAGGTGACATAAACGAGCGTCTTTTAACGAAGCGCAATGGAGGATACCGCAGGGATCTGAGTGAACCCTCGATAGAAGAACCGGATCGAGGAACTGGTTGACTGCAACGAAGCTTCTCAGGTAGAAATGTCAATGTCGTTAATCTCCTCGAAGGAGCTCCTAGGCGCGATGCGCCGGCAACAGGAAGGAGGCTGGCGGCGCGGATCGTGCAATGTAAAGGCGCCATGGATGAAATCTCCAGAAGTTATTTACTGTACCTGCGTTCCTAAACCCTGTCCTAAGCAACGCAGACTAAGCAACGCAGACTAAGCAAAGTTTAGCAGGGTTGCGTTTGAAGTACTACCGTAAAGAACAACATAGCGCGAAACGCGGGATCAACGGGAAAAATCTGGTTGATTTGACTGAGCGCCTTACGGACTCGTAACGAGTTGCTCCGGTACAAGCTTTTCGAGTGCATGCGTATAACGGAAGGTGAGTCAAAATGCAATCACACATTTCTGCTAGCGTTTCCAGGTTTTCGGCCTGCAGTTCCTTTCTTGGTCTCGTCAGCATTGGGGTGTATCCTGTATACAGACTGTCGTGGGGTGGGGTGGTTGGGACGCTCAGCCAATCAGAAGAAAAGCTGCTCTTGATTTTTCTCGCCACATGCAGAAGGCCACCTCGCCCCGACTTGAGGGTGAGAAAGGGCTCCTCGAGCTCGCGAAGCCTGACGAAAATGTTACACAGACTAGTAAATTCGTTGATCCCTTTTGACCACCATACTTGTGACTGTATTCACCAATCCCCAAACCCTGCATTCTAGGATTCTAGGGTCTAGACTAGATGTGTTCGATATGGCTTCCTTGGCTGGATGACAGGACATGACGCCGCGGGTCTCGAGTCGACGTGCTGAAATAGGGGACTCACTAGGCCGTGTTGTGATGGGTAGCAAGGGAAGCGAGTTTAGGCTAGCTGGCTTCTCCTCCTCTCACCCGCTCGTCTGCCCTTCCCCGCAAATCCCGCAACTTCGACGGCGATCATTTGACAGATATAGTCCGCGCACGCTCCTGGCGCGCAGTCTTATCTGCTTCGGAAACGTCTCCCCGTCGCACTCCACCCGTACCTGTGGTGCTCTGGTGCCATCGCCTGCTGTCCTCGGTCCAGCCGATCTTGACGTCTCCCCCACGTGATTCCAGATCGGCCTTTCGGGCCCGATTCGCCTCGCAGCGTCGATTTCACACCTCGTTCCTCGCCTCGTGTTTTCCTCGCCTCGTGTTTTCCTCGCCTCGTCGGCTCCTCCTCCCGCCGCCCTGCCTCGGATCGCTGGGGACCCTTCCCCCCCCTCCCCCCCCTCCCCCCCCCCCCCCTCCTCTTCCCTCGACTACCCCGCTTTTCGATCTCCCTCGAGTTGCTCTCGGCGTAACACAGAATGTGCGAAATAGAGATGTCACGGCCCGTCCAAGTGCAGCCCCTTGGTCCGTCGCGGGTGGAATTCCCTTCGCGGGGGAATCGCCGTCGCGCCTTCGACGCAGGTTGACCCATGTGGCGGAGTCTCCTTTCAACGTCGAATCCGTCGAGTTTCTAACGCAACGCGCGGCGCAAGGCTGCCGAGGCAAGCGCCATGCAGAGAGAGAGAAAGAGAGCACTCGACTCGAGCGGCGCCTTAGTACGGACAGATTCCGCGGAGCCGCTCTTTGTTGGGTCTACTGTATTGTTGCGCGACATACCAGTACCCCGTTGGTGTCTTGCCAGTCTTGGGTCAGTCACGAGCCCTCGCGTAGTGTGCTCGAGACGAGCTCGCCAGCCGATCTCTCGAGACGTTCCGTCTATCTCGCGGAGAGCGCCAACGAGCAGTCACAGAAGGTTCTTCGGCACGCGTCTCCATTCTGACAGATTCTCTGACACTCTCTACGAGCTACATCCGGAGGGCGCTGAGAGGTGCTATTTGCAAGGGTGTCCTTTCGTGATTATATCCGCGGTGAGGTAGCCTTTACCAGAATCAATCACGGCTATTGCCGCTCCCTCCAGCTACCAGCATCCCTAGGTTGGTAGACTGGGTGTTAATCACCCCTCCCGGCGTTGCTGCTGCTGCTTCCGAGAAGTGCTTTTTCTAGTCGCGCGGCCTTGTAGGTTGTGAAGATACTGAGTATCACGCGGCCTGCGAATTTTCCTGTAACGGGTTGTTACAAGCCTGTGGCTGTTAACATGGGGGAGGCAGCGGACGTCGAGGCGGGATTCGCGGCGGGTGAAGCGCTAGAGCCCACAGAAGGCTTCACTGTAGTCGACCTTGGAACCAGGAACGGCAGCAACGGCAGCAGCGGCAGCAACGGCAGCAGCGGCAGCAACGACTGCAGCAGCGGCAGCAGCGGCCGCAACAACAGCAGCAGCGGCAGCAGCGGCAGTGATGGCGGCGTGGTTTCGTCTTTCAACGAGTTCGCTGCTGGCAAGAGCGGCTTCGCGAAGCACGCGCTCGATCACTCCGCGTACGACCTCACCGTCGTGGACTTGTCCTACAAGGTGTGCTTGCGGCTCGTTTCTCCGCGTATCTATTCTTCAGCACCCTCACTTCCCTCCGTCTTGCGTTGTGCGGCGCGCCCAAAGTCGCGTACGACCTCACCCGTCGTGGATCGGACTTGTCCTACAATTTGGGCTTGCTGCTCCTGCCGCCTCATATTATTCCATCGGCCCCGCACTTCCCTCCGACTTTGTCTCCCTGGTACACTTAACTGTCCGCCAAATCAAGTCCTCCCTTTCCCCCCACCCCCTCGCTTCCTTCAACTCCCTCTCCCTCCCGCTCCCCCTTCCGCTCCCACTTGTCTACTCACTGATTTCTAGGTCGTCAAGAATGTCGGTAATAACAAGCAGGAGATGATTCTGCTAAACAAGGTCAACGCGAAGGCACGCCATGGCGAGATGATGGCGGTCGTCGGCCCGTCGGGCGCGGGAAAATCGACGTTTCTCGACGCGATCGCGGGGCGAATCAGCCAATCCTCGCTGGACGGCGAGATTCTGGTTAACGGCAAGCCGGTAGCGTCCTCGTTCAAGCGCGTGTCTGGCTACGTTATGCAAGACGACCAGCTTTTCCCGATGCTGTCCGTTCGCGAAACGCTGATGTTTTCCGCGCGCCTGCGACTTCCTGCGACGATGTCGCTCGCCGATAAAAAGGAACGCGTTTCGGATCTGATCGACGAATTGGGATTGACGACATGCGCGAACACAATTATTGGGAACGCCGAAGTTCGCGGAGTTTCGGGTGGCGAGCGGCGAAGGGTTTCGATAGGCGTGGATTTGATACACGACCCTGCTGTACTCTTTTTGGACGAACCCACTTCAGGGTTGGATTCTACAGCTGCGTTAAACGTTATGCAAAGTTTGCATGATATTGCGACGCACCGGCGCCGCACGATTATTCTCACCATTCACCAGCCGTCCTTCAGGATTTTGGACCTGATTCACAATTTCCTGGTGCTGGCGAAGGGTTCTGCGGTGTACCACGGGTCGTATCCAGGGATGCTGAAATTCTTTGAAGACTTTGGCACAGAGGTGCCTGAACACGTGAGTACCACGGGATACTGAAGGTCAGGCTTGCCCTTTCGTCTGTGTCACCTCCACCGTCTCACCTGTTCACGTCTCATGGTTCCCTTGCGTCTCCCTCATGTGCTGATCATGCCTTGTCAGGTGAACGCCCTGGAGTATGCGTTGGACATGATTGAGGAAGAGCAGCAGAAGGAGAGAGGGCTGGACGAGCTGATCCGATTCAGTGTGAGTGCAGTGGCATGGGATGGCGTGGGGTTTCATGCGCTGTTCACGCTCTTTTCTGGCGAACGCCCTGGAGTACGCGCTTGACATGATTGAGGAAGAGCAGCAGAAGGAGAGGGCTGGACGAGCTGATTCGATTCAGTGTGAGTGCAATGCCATGACATGGCATGGGGATCCATGCTCAACCCATCATGGCATTGGGATTGACATGAGTGAAGAGGAGCGGCAGAAGGAGAGGGTTGGATGAGCTGATTTGTCAGTGTAAGTGCGGTCCCCTGGCAGCACATCATGGCATGCAGGAGTCATCATGGCTCATCCCTTTGTGGCATGCAGATTCATGGCTCATCCCATCATGGCATGCAGGAAATATCATGGCTCACGCTGAGTCATGGCTCATCCCTCCGTGGCATGCAAAGCCATGGCTCATCCCTCCATGGCATGCATAGTCTTGGCTCACCCCATCATGTCATGCAAATTCATGGCTCATTCCATCCATCCACCACATTTCCCTGCCGTACCTCTGTATTCTTCCCCTCCCTCTCCTCTCCAATTCGCAACACAGGGTGCGTTACAAGCACGAGAAGTCCCTGGGAACGCACAGCACCTTTGGCGCGCACCACCATGCATTCCCCCCTCCCCGCACCTTCGCCGCACCTTTTCTCCACGAAACCACCCCCCTGCCTCTGCTCGTGTCTGTACAAAAACTGCGTGATAGGATTCTAGTTTTGAGGCGCCTCAAAACTAGACTCCTATCACCCTGCCTCTGCTCGTGTCTTCTTCCCATCATATACCTTCCCATCTACCCCTTTTCCGCCCCCCTTTTCATCCCCTCTTCCCCTTATTAGAGGGCGCGCTACGAGCACGAGAAGTCTCTGGGAACGCACAGCACCCTCGGCGCGCACCACCACACCTCCCCCCCTCCCCGCACCTTTGCAACACCCTTCCTCCACGAAACCCTAACTCTCGCCGACCGCAACTTCAAAAACATCTTCCGAACCCCGGAGCTCTTCCTCGCCCGCATCGGTCTCATGGTGGTAACCGGACTCATCCTTGGCTCACTCTTTCTCAAGTCCGGCTACGACGCCGAAGGAATCACCAACCGCGCGTCCTTCTTCGCCTTCGCTCTAGCCCTCCTCCTCTTCACCTCCACCGAAGGCCTCCCGATTTTCCTCGACGAGAGGCAGATTTACATCCGGGAGACGTCGCGCGGCGCGTACCGCACGGCGTCGTATGTGCTCGCGGGGGCTCTGGTCTTCCTGCCGTTCCTGTTCCTGCTCTCGCTGCTCTTCTCCTGCGTTGCGTACTTCATGGTGGGGCTTGCTGCGACGGCGACGGCGTTTTTCCGGTTTGTCGCGACGATGTTTCTGACGCTGGCGGTGGGGAATTCGTTCGTGGTGTTCTTTGCGGCGTTCGTGCCGAATTACATCACCGGGAATACGGTGGTCACGGCGATTACCGCGTTCTTTTTCCTCTTTAGTGGCTTCTTCATTTCCAAGTAAGAGGGGGGCTGGGATGGGCTGGGCACATGATTGGTATGGCATTGCATGGCATGGCATGTGCATTTATGCTGTCCTTTTGTGTTCATGTCACTGGCGGTGAGGAATTCTTTCGTGGTGTTCTTTGCAGCGTTCGTGCCGAATTACATCACCGGGAATACGGTTGTCACAGGGATCGTTATTGTGTTCACGGGGGATACGGTGGTTCACGATATTGTGTTCTTTTTCCTCTTTAGTGGCTTCTTTATTTCCAAGTAAGCAGTGCACAGGGATCGGTGGCAGTATGCTTTTTTTTCCTATTGGCCACTCAGTCCTTCTCTGTTTCCCTCCTCTCCTGCCCATCCTGTCCTGTCCTCTTCCTTCCGTTCCTTCCGCTCCTTCCGCTCCCTCCGCTCCCTTTCCATCTTAGCATACCTCCAACACTTTATTTTGGCCCTCACTTCTCCCCTTCTCCTCCTTCCTTGCCCTCTTCCTTTTCTTTTATTCTGAGCCAACTGTCCTTCTCTGCCCCATGCTGCTTTCCTCCCTCCTTTTATCCATGTGGCTCCACTAATCTAACCCTCCCTCCTATTCCTTTCCATCCCTTAGTCCTCCTCCCCTTTGTTTCCTCCCACTTAGGGCCAACATCCCTCCCCATTGGATTTGGATGAACCACCTCTCCACCTTCAAATACCCTCCAGAGATGCTTACATGTTAATGGCGCTCCTCCCCACCACCCTCGTGACCTCCTCCCCAACCACCTTCCTCCCTTCTTCCCCTCCCATTCCAACTGTTCCCTTACCCCCACTCAGGGCAACACCCCTCCCTTCTGCTTTTGAGTCGGCTCAAAAGCAGCCTTCCCCTCTCATTCCCACTGTTCCTTTACCCCCACTCAGGGCCAACATCCCCCCCTACTGGATCTGGATGAACCGTCTTTCTACCTTCAAGTACCCTCTTGAGATGCTTCCTCTTAACCAGCAAGGCTCCCTTATGCCTCCCTGCAGTCCCCTCCTCGCCACCCCTCAAATCCGCTCTACCCCCATCTCCCCCCATCTCCCCCCATCTCCCCCCATCTCCCCCCATCCTCCCGCCCTCCCACTCAGGGCCAACATCCCTCCCTATTGGATCTGGATGAACTACCTCTCTACCTTCAAATACCCTCTTGAGATGCTCACTCTTAACGAGTATGGCTCTCTGCCCTCCGTCTGCTGGGAGTACCTTGTTAAGAGCGACCCCACCTCGCCCTGTGTAGTGATTTCCGACAGCGTTATTGCGCGATTCGATATGGCAGATAGTAGCAGGTTCTGGGAGTCTGCAGTGATCATGGTCTCTTTCTTCGTCGGCTATCGGATCTTGTTCTATTTCGCTCTGAGGTACCAGACCTCCCTTGTGCGCCAGTAGGGGGAGTTCTCTTTGAAGGCGCCTAAAAAAAAGAGACTCCTCACCTCATGCATGGTCTCTTCTTCAGCTATCGGATCTTGTTTTATTTTCCTCTGAGATACCAGACCTCCCCTGTGCGGAAGGGGAGGTTTGTGTGTATAGGTTTTTGTAGTGGAAAGAGTATAACTACCGGTAGGCTAGATGGCGGTGCTTTGCAACCTTTTTAGTTCCTAGACGTGTAAATCTGTATGCATGTACATCTGCGTATCAGTTGAAATACCAGTAAAAGTGGAATTTTATACTCGAAAACTTCTGGTTCTAGCTAGTGTTAAAATTATATAAGTTATAATTTAATATAGGCTTGGTAGGTTGTTACTGAACCTTTCTGTAGGGGGTATAAACCCCTCCTTGTACTCCCCTCTCTTCCTAATCTAACTCCCTTTCTTCTCGACATTCTCTCCCTTCCTAGATCCGTTTTTCCTCACGCTATTCCATGGCGGCCTTCTTCCTAGTATCCTAGCCAACCTAGCCTCCTAAGTTTAAGAACCTTGAGTCCTAAGTTTCTAAGATGGTATCAGAGCAGGAGATCCTCCCTGTTGGATCGCCTCCTCACGCTTCCGCAATTTACTCCTCACTCTCATTAGCTCGAGCGGCCATGGCGGCCGCGTTTTGCTGCAGTGGCGACGTCGCGCTGCCACTGGCCGCGTCGTGCCGCGACCGGCTCGACGCGCTGCCGTGGCGTCGGGCCGTCGTTCTGCAGTCGCAGCGTCGACGTCCCGCTGCGGCATCGACGCTGCCTCTGCCGTCGCGACGTCGACGTCCTGCTGCAGCGTCGACGGCGCCGTCGGGCCGCAGCCGGTTGCGTCGACGCTTTGCCGTGGCAGCGTCACCTTGCTGTCGTTGCAGCGTCGGCGTGCCGCCACAGCGTCGACGCCGCGCCCTGGCGGCGTCGTCATGCTGCCGCGGCAGCGTGGATGGGCGGCAGCGGGCAGCACGCCGTCGTAACCGCCACCTGCCCGCCCTCCTGCCAGTAAGCGCCGCGCCACTTATGGCGCGTCGCTGAAGACTCGCCTCGCCCCGCCCCCTCCCCTCCCCCCCCCACCTGCACCTGCTTCCCCTGCATCCCCCCCTTTCTTGCTGCAGCCGATGACTGCCATGTGAGGGACCTCTCCATCGCCGAGGAGACAGGACATGCCGCCGAGAGGGCGGGGGCCGCCGCACCAGCCTCTGTCGTTCGAGCCGCCGGCGCCGCCGCTGTTGCCGCAGGCCTGGAGCCGCCGCACACCGCCGCCGCTGCCACCGTCGTCACTGTCGCTGCTGCCGCCATTGCCGTCTCAAGGGGCCGTGAGACCTACCCTCTTCCGGAGTCGTTGCGGCTCCTGCTGGGAATGGGGGTGCTGGGCTAGGGGGTGTGGGTGTGGGTGCGGGTGTGGGGGTGTGCGTGGGCTTGACACTACCAAGCCTAGGGGGTGTGTTAAAATTATATAAGTTATAATTTAATATAGGCTTGGTAGGTTGTTACTGAACCTTTCTGTAGGGGGTATAAACCCCTCCTTGTACTCCCCTCTCTTCCTAATCTAACTCCCTTTCTTCTCGACATTCTCTCCCTTCCTAGATCCGTTTTTCCTCACGCTATTCCATGGCGGCCTTCTTCCTAGTATCCTAGCCAACCTAGCCTCCTAAGTTTAAGAACCTTGAGTCCTAAGTTTCTAAGATGGTATCAGAGCAGGAGATCCTCCCTGTTGGATCGCCTCCTCACGCTTCCGCAATTTACTCCTCACTCTCATTAGCTCGAGCGGCCATGGCGGCCGCGTTTTGCTGCAGTGGCGACGTCGCGCTGCCACTGGCCGCGTCGTGCCGCGACCGGCTCGACGCGCTGCCGTGGCGTCGGGCCGTCGTTCTGCAGTCGCAGCGTCGACGTCCCGCTGCGGCATCGACGCTGCCTCTGCCGTCGCGACGTCGACGTCCTGCTGCAGCGTCGACGGCGCCGTCGGGCCGCAGCCGGTTGCGTCGACGCTTTGCCGTGGCAGCGTCACCTTGCTGTCGTTGCAGCGTCGGCGTGCCGCCACAGCGTCGACGCCGCGCCCTGGCGGCGTCGTCATGCTGCCGCGGCAGCGTGGATGGGCGGCAGCGGGCAGCACGCCGTCGTAACCGCCACCTGCCCGCCCTCCTGCCAGTAAGCGCCGCGCCACTTATGGCGCGTCGCTGAAGACTCGCCTCGCCCCGCCCCCTCCCCTCCCCCCCCCACCTGCACCTGCTTCCCGTGCATCCCCCCCTTTCTTGCTGCAGCCGATGACTGCCATGTGAGGGACCTCTCCACCGCCGAGGAGACAGGACATGCCGCCGAGAGGGCGGGGGCCGCCGCACCAGCCTCTGTCGTTCGAGCCGCCGGCGCCGCCGCTGTTGCCGCAGGCCTGGAGCCGCCGCACACCGCCGCCGCTGCCGCCGTCGTCACTGTCGCTGCTGCCGCCATTGCCGTCTCAAGGGGCCGTGAGACCTACCCTCTTCCGGAGTCGTTGCGGCTCCTGCTGGGAATGGGGGTGCTGGGCTAGGGGGTGTGGGTGTGGGTGTGGGTGTGGGGGTGTGCGTGGGCTTGACACTACCAAGCCTAGGGGGTGTGTTAAAATTATATAAGTTATAATTTAATATAGGCTTGGTAGGTTGTTACTGAACCTTTCTGTAGGGGGTATAAACCCCTCCTTGTACTCCCCTCTCTTCCTAATCTAACTCCCTTTCTTCTCGACATTCTCTCCCTTCCTAGATCCGTTTTTCCTCACGCTATTCCATGGCGGCCTTCTTCCTAGTATCCTAGCCAACCTAGCCTCCTAAGTTTAAGAACCTTCAGTCCTAAGTTTCTAAGAGCTAGCTCTATAACAGTTGTTATTCAGGCCCCTAGATATCAGCCTTTTTACGCTGATTCAGCCTTTTTTCAGCCTTTTTTTTGGTACCCATGCTGAACTGTAAGCCTTTTTGTGAAAGGTGAGGCTGACAAAATCAGACTTTTTTAAATAGCGTTGCCTGATGATTGTCAACTTATATATTATTTTAATATAGTTGTGTAGGCCTGGTAGGTGTTGTACAAATGACTGGATCCTACTGTAGAGAGTTCAACCCACTTCTTGTACCTCTCTCTCTCTCCTAGTCAAACCTCCTTCTAACATGGTTTCAGAATAGGATGATCCTGCCGAGCCTCCTATTCATGCTTCCGTCGCGTACTCTCTCCTCTCCTCTCACTTTCGCGCCGCCGTGGCGGCCTCGACGTGCTGCCGTGGCGGCCACGACCTGCTTCCATGGCGGCCTCGACGCATGGCGGCCTCGTCGAACAGTCGTGGCGGCCTCGCTGCGCTGCCGCAGCGGCCTCATCGTGCTGCCGTGGCGTCATCGTGCTACCGTGGCGGCTTCGATGCGCCAGCGCACGGACGGCAGCGGCCCGCGCACTGTTTTAGGCACCAGCCAACACGCCCGCACGCCAGCCTGGGCGCGTCGCTGAAGACACGCCCCCTCCCCTGCGTCTCCTCTCATCCCAACCGCAGCTGATGACTCCCTTCCCCGTTGTCACCGGGCCGTGCCACGCCGCCGAGTGCCGCGGGCTTCGCAGTCGCCGCCGCCGTCGTCAAAGCCGCCGCCGCCACTGCAGGTGCATCTGACTCCGCCGCCACCCACCACCGACGCCGCCGTTGTCGTCGTGGTAGTTGCCGCTGACACCGTTGCTGCCACTCGCTGCCGACGTCGCCGTCTCGCACGCCGAGGGGTAGAAGCCACAGCTGCTGCAGGACATGGGGGTGCAAGGGCTTGGGGGTGTTGCGTGTGTGGTGTGCTAACGCCTACCAAGCCTAGGGGATGTGTAAACTTATATATTATTTATATATACTTGTGTAGGCTTGGTAGGTGTTCTACAAATGATTGGATCCTACTGTAGAGGGTACGACCCACTTCTTGTACCTTTCTCTATCTCCTAGTCAAACCCGTTTTCTCTCGCTATTTCTCTCCTACCCGCCAAAACCTACCCTTAGCTACTTCAACAATGATTTCATAGTTTTTGTTGGGGTGATGGCTGGGGTTTCAGCGAGATCTTCGGGAGGGAGTCTGAAACCGAGTATACTGTGTTTCGGGGGTCCTTTGTGTGATTACCACACATTGACACGCAATCCCCCGTCAATCACGCCCTGAGGATGTACAGTATGAGGGTGCTGATTGGCCCTTAGCCAAAATCGGTGCCCGTTGCATGCTAGACGCTTTGTGAGGGTGAGCTTGTTTTTTGAAGGTATAAAAACGATTTAGATTGTCAAGCAAATTTGTTTACAATATATAGGGAATAATAAGTATATTGCACGTCAGGGCGGGTTGAAGCGAGATGTGCCGAAACAAATTCTGATGTGTATTCCTGGCTGGCGATGTGCCAATGTGTCACCACAAAAATACTGAAAACAAGCCACCCACCGTTCAGGTCAGAAAACCACTCTAATGTCCATGTTTGAGAATTGCTTGTAATGCGTCAGATTAGAAAGATGACGTTTCTGTCAACAAATATAATTGTCCAGGCTAGCTAGTTTATATTTGTTATAGCCTTAGTTAGGTCAGTTCTTAGAGGGTACACTCCTATCTTTGTAACCCTCGACATTTTCCCTTAGCTCATCATTCTCTCGACAATCTAACATGGCATCTAGAGCTAGGTCTCGCCCTCTACTCACGCTTCCGCCCTAGCACACCCTAGCCTAGTGCGCCTTGGCCCTAATTGCGCGCCTGGTAGCTCGTCCCGTCCCCGCCCTCTCCTTTTTTTCGCGTAGTTCACGTCAGCCACCGCTGGCCCGCGCCCGCCAGCGCCTTAGTTCGTAGCCGTCCCACAGCCCGCCATCCCGCCAGCCTGTCACAGGATCGAATGTGTCGAGGAAAAGTTGTACTATCGATTGATACAAGGCGCTTTTATACTTCCACCGTACATCAGGTAACCAGGTTTATCCTATCTGAAGGAAATAGACCCTTCTGGAAATAGAATCACCCTGCGTATAACCACTCGAGGCTATTGGCTTTAAGGGATTATAGCAGGATTACGCTAGATATAGCGCGCCAGTACATCCTGAGCCTGGTCGGTGATATAATTATAATAAGAGGATAAATCAAAGGATGATGGAAAATGAGGAATAGGAAACCAAATGGAATGAGATAGAAAAGAGATATGAAAAGGGAAATTAGCGTAACGGGGTCGTACTCAGACACTCAAAGCTGGATGGTAGAAGTAACACCCTGCTTGACAAGGTAGTCACGAAGAGGACGACGGGCGTTACCCATGTCGGATTCGGGGACCCAGCTATCCTCAGAAGGATCATAACCCTTCCAACGAATGAGAAGCTCCACGATACCATTCCGACGACGGCGGTGTGGGAGCACAGTCTCGATCCCGTTTTCAGTTTCATCGGAGACGAGGACGGGCGGCGGCGGTGACGGTCGGCGTCCGGTGAAGACCGTGTTGGGATCGCGGTAGGGCTTTAAAAGCTGGACATGGAAGGCGTTGTGAATCTTCCAGGTGGCTGGTAGGCATAAGCGGAAGGTAAAAGGAGTGACCTGTGCGTCAACGAGGAAAGGCCCGCAGAAGCGAGGTCGAAGTTTGGATGGGAGATGGCGAATGTCAAGGTTGCGGGTGTCGAGGAGCACCTGGTCTCCCACGGTGATGGTGTGATCATTGCGATGGCGATCGGCCTGGCGCTTCTGTTGCTGCAGGATGTCGAGGAGGCGCTTGTGGGTCCGATCCCAAAGCTGATGCATGGTCGTGATGAAGTTGTGTGCAGGTTGGACTATAGCTGATGCTGTCGGTTTTTGTGGCATGAGTGGGTGGCGTCCATAGCAGAGGAAGAATGACGTCTGTCCAGTAGCGACATAAGTATCTTATTGTAAGCAAACTCTAGTACGGGCAGGTGCAAGTCCCATTTGGAGATCTCGTCTTTGTAGGCTGCTCGGAGGAGTTGCTCGACAATTTGGTTGAGGCGCTCGGTCTGTCCATCTGTCTGTGGATGGTAGGCGGATGACATGGCAAGTTTGGTCCCGAGCAGAGACATGAGTTCCTTCCAGAACTTGCTGGTGAACTTGGGGTCTCGGTCGGAGATGAGTGTAGTTGGAATGCCATGTTGTGAGATAATGTCGCACACGAATAGTTGTGCTGTCTCTTTGGTGCGTGATGTTGTGTGTGTCGGGATGAAGTGTCCCATTTTGGAGAATTTGTCAATGACGACGAGAATTGCGTCATGACCGCTTGTGGTAGGTGGTAACCTGGTAATGAAATCCAGGCTAACCACTTGCCATGGTTGTTCTGGGACAGGAAGAGGCTGTAGCAGTCCCGCCTTCTTCTGCTTGCTGCTCTTCATCCGCTGACATGTATCACACGAGGTGATGAATTTCTGGACATCGTTTGCCAGGTGGGCCAAGTAGTAGTGCTTCGCCATACCGGCGAGTGTCTTGTTGCTACCGAAGTGCCCTCTGTACAGGACATCGTGGTATTCTTCGAGTAGTAACTGGCACAAAGGAGGGTAATTGGGTACCCAGATTTTCGTTGATCCCTTCCGGTACACGATGTCACTGTCCCACTGTAGCAGATGTCGCTTTTCTGCCAAGGAAATTTCGGGGTCGATGGTATACCCGTGTGTGAAGAGTCCCTTGAGGAGTGGATTCATCCCTTCGATCTGGATGGCGGCAACATGTGCAGGCCGGCTAAGGGCGTCTGCTTTGTTTCTATGGCCGGGCTTGTACACGATGCCATAGTGGAAGTGTGTCTCGAGGAAGTCAATCCACCAGACCTGCTGCCTGGAGAGGGTTGGCTGGGTCTTCAAATATTCTAGGCTGCAGTGGTCGGTGTAGACAGTTGTTTTCCGTCCTTCGAGGTAACATCTCCACGTTTTGAAGGTGATGATAATAGCAAGGGCCTCCTTGTCGTGTATCGGGTAATTGAGTCCTGCCCTGTGTAGTTCCTTTTTGAGGTAGGCGATTGGTTGCAGTCCGTTTCCTAGATCTTGCATCAAGACTGCTCCCACTGCTTGGTGACTAGCGTCAGCTTCGATGACGTAGTCGCGTTCGGGGTCTGGCAAGATGAGTACAGGCGCGGACGTGAGTGCTTGTTTCAGCTGCTCCATGGCTTCCTGATGTTTTGGTCCCCATTTATAGGGCGTGTTCTTTTTCAGTAGATTCGTGAGTGGTGTGTGATTTTTGCGTACTGTCACACGAATCTGTTGTAGTAGTTAGCGAAGCCTAGGAACTGCTGCAAATCCTTCACGTTCTCGGGTGTCTTCCACGTACGTACGGCTTCGATTTTCTTGGGGTCGACGTGAACTCCTTGAGCGCTCGCCATGTGTCCTAGGAATTGGAGTTTCTCCAGGGCGAAGTCGCTCTTGGACAACTTGACGTAGAATCGCTCTCGTCGAAGAATTTCGAAGACGTGTCGCAGGTATTCGACGTGCTGCTTCATGTCGCGCGAGTAGATGAGGATGTCGTCCAGATACACCACCATGCACTTATCCAAAAGTGGGCGTAGAATGTGGTTCATTTTGGCTTGGAACGTTGCCGGTGCGTTGGTGAGTCCGAACGGCATTACCAGATACTCGTACGATCCGTACCAAGTTCGGAAGGCAGTTTTGTGGATCGAATGTGTCGGGGAAAAGTTGTACTATCGATTGATACAAGGCGCTTTTATACTTCCACAGTACATCAGGTAACCAGGTTTATCATATCTGAAGGGAACAGACCCTTCTAGAAATAGAATCACCCTGCGTATAGCCACGCGAGGTTATTGGCTTTAAGGGATTACAGCAGGATTACGCATGATATAGCGCGCCAGTACATCCCGAGCCTGGTCGGTGATATAATTATAATAAGAGGATAAACCAAAGGATGATGGAAAATGAGGAATAGGAAACCAAATGGAATGAGATAGAAAGGAGATATGAAAAGGGAAATTGGCGTAACGGGGTCGTACTCTCACACAGCCCGCGTGCTCGCCAGCTCGCACGGTCGCCCGCCCGCCCGCCCGCCTGATCGCTTGCTCGCCCGCCTGCTCGCCAGCCCGCCTGCTCGCCAGCCCGCTTGCTTGCTTGCTCGCCCGCCCGCCTTCTCGCTTGCTCGCCTGCCCGCCAGCCCGCCTACTCGCCAGCCCGCCTGCTCGCCAGCTGGCTAGCTTGCCAGCCCGCCAGCCTGCCTGCTTGCTAGCGCGCTTGCTCGCCTGCTTGCCCGCTCATTTGCTCACCAGCTCGCCTTCTTGCCTGCAGCGCCAGCAGCCAGCGCCAGCAGCCAGCACCAGCTTGCCAGCGCAAGCAACCAGCACCAGCTAGCTCGCCAACACCAGCCAGTGCTAGCAGCCAGCAGCACAAGATGCCAGCAGCCAACAGCCAGCGCCGGCTGCTGCCACCCACTGCCACTACCGCAACTACTTCTGCCCACTGCCACCTACTGCTGCCCACTGTCGTTGCAGCCGCCACTACTGCAGCCACTGCTGCCGGTGCCGCCACAGCCGCCGCTGCCTCTGCAGCAGCCACTGCTACTCCTGTCACCACTGCTGTTGCCCACAGTCAGCTTCTGCCTTCACTACCGTAGCCGTTGCCGCTACAGCCGCCGCTGCTACTTCTGTCGCCACTGCTGTTGCCCACCGCCAGCTTCAGCCTTCAAGAGCCAGCCACCAGCCGCCAGCACCAGTCACCACCCACCAGCAGCCAACCGCCGACCCTCAGCCGTCAGCCGCCGCTGCCACCACTTGCGGCCAGCTGCTGCCCACCAGCCGCTAGCGGTAGTCACCAGCGGCAGTCGGCCGCCAGTCGCCAGTCGGCTGCCTGCCATGTGAGTCCCCCGTGCCCTGCGGACTGTCCTATATACTGTGTCGCTAGTCCTAGTGCCTCCTAGCTAGCTCCTTGGCATACTGCTCCTAGTAGATCCTCTTGCGCGCACTTCCTCCTCGTTTGCTCCCCACTCCTCCTAGCAGCTCCTAGCCTACCGCCAGCCGCCAGCTAGCCGCTACTGCCATCTTTTTGTCACTAGTCGCTGCTGCTACCAGCCTCGTGCTCACTGCCACTGCTCTGGCCATAGTCGCCACTGCTACTACCTCCGATTGTACTCCTCTAGCACCTAGTGCCTCCCGCTAGTCTCCTCATCGATTCTAGAGTTCCTCGATGCCTCTCCACTCGGCATGATGGCCTCGTTCAGGTCAGTCCCTCGGCCAGACCGCCGGGCACTTCCCTCCGCTCTCCAATTTCTTGCTCACCGTCTACAGCTGGTGAGCCTGCACCTAGACTGCACGCTCATAGAGGATCACATTAGTTACCTCATTCGCTTGTGGCTCCACGACCTCGACATCTGCTTTCGGGCTCTCTGGCCAGTGCCACAGCCGCAGCAGCTGCAGTGGATTCCTGGAGGTGCTGGGCAAGGTGGAGGCTCTGGAGGTGCGGCCTCGAGGCGGTCACTACCCTGGGGCCAGTGTGGTTTCTCTGGAGGACCGAGGACCTTGGGGCCTAGGGGAATAGGTCCCACCACTGTGTATAGTCTAGGAGCCTCTACTACGTGTCCACTAGGCTCCTCCCCTGCCCCTCCTGAGGCGGCCCTCTCCTTTATCCTTGACTCGAGGACATCTTGTTGCTTCTTTAAAGACAGTACTGCTCTCACCCCGCTTCCTGCTCCTGTCCGCGTCGCACTAGCAGACTCCTCCACCACAGCTGTCGCATGTAGCACCACCACTCTCCCTTCTCCCGCTGTCCCCTCCGGCTTCCTCACCGGTTTGCACATCCCCTCGTTTGCCAGAAACCTAATGGGTGTCGGTCACCTTCAGGACCGAGACGTCACCACTACGTTCCCTGACTGCGAGAGACACGTCGCTTGCACAGACACAGCCACCGGGCGGCACTTAGCCACGTTTGAGCGTGATCGAGGGTCAGGTCTCTTTACACTGCACACTGAGTCCCTGCCAACTGCTCCGTCTGCCGCGGTTGCCGCATCCTGCTCTTGTCGCTCCATAGCCCACCCGACCCTTCTGTGGCACCACCGCTTAGGTCACCTTGCACTCCCGCGTCTTAGGCACATGTCCCAGCCCGGTGTAGTCATTGGTCTCCCTGCATCGCTTCGCGCCCTACCTACATCGGTAGCGCCACTGTGCACGTACTGCGTCGAGGTCCGGCAGCGCGCCGCCCCTCACTCCTCCTCGTTTCCTCCTACCATATCGCCGCTACAGGCGCTGCATATGGACGTCTGGAGCTCTGCCCGGGTCCATGGTCTTAGTCGGGAGCGCTACTTTCTAATCGTCGTTCACGACTTCCCTCGCTTCTCCGCAGTGTTCGTGTTGGAGCGGAAGGCCAACGTGCCTATCGTTTTCCTCTCGTGGCTTCTTACTATTCGCACCCACCACCGCCTGCCTGTAGGTCGGTTACACTCTGACCGTGGTGGCGAGTTCGCCTCTGGAACTCTATGACAGTTCTGTCATGCAGAAGGCATCCGCCAGCCATACACACTGCCGGACTCCCCACAGCGGAATGGGATCGCTGAGCGACGCATCTGCCTGATAATGGAGGTAGCTCGCACCTCCATGGTCCACGCTGGTGCACCCCATTTTCTGTGGTCGTTCGCCATGCGCTACACTGCTCACCAGCTTAACCTATGGTCGCGCTCCCATCGGCCACAGGTTTCGCCGACCCTCTGATTGGCTGTTCTACCACTCGTCACACCACCGCTTTTACCACTCTTGTGACGTTACCTTCAACGAGATGCTCCCCTAATACCAGCGCTACCCGCACTGCAGCGCTCCTGTGCCTCCTCCTCTCTTCCTTCTCCCTGCCCCGCCTGCCGCACCCCTCCCGCCCCGCCCGGCCCAGTCTTGTGTCTCCCACGGCACTCAGTTCCCCTCGCTTGCGCCTGTGGGGGAGTCAGCTGACTCTTGGGGCCCAGCTGCTGGGGGTGCACCTGCTGTCCATGTGGCGCCTCCCCCAGCCTCGCTACCACAGGCACCTCATTCGCCTCCTCCCTTGCCTTAGCCGCAACAGCCGTCGCCGCAACAGACTCCTCGGCCGCAACAGTAGCAGCAGGGAGCAGTGGGCTCTGGGGGTGCTTGTTCTGGGGGTGCTGGTGTTGGTGGAGTTGGTGTTGGGAGTGCTGACTGTGGGGGTGCTGATTCTAGGGGTGCGAGTTCTGGGGGTGCTGACTCCGGGGGTGTTGGTTCTTTGGGTGGTGCGTCCGAGGGTGCTAGTCTTGGGGGTGCTGTTTCGCGGCGTGCCTGTGGCAGCAGCGATGCCGCTGGAGGTCCTATAAAGGACAGGGCATAGTTGCAGCCGCAACCACCGCAGCAGGAGCCGCCGCAGTCTGCCCTTCATCTCCTTGGTCTTGCTCCAGGTCCCCCTGTCCGCACACCCGTTCCCCCTCCGATGCGTAACCCTATTTACGGCCCGTTGTTTCCTCCTCCAGACTCCTCTCTGGCTCATTTTCCCCAGCGCTCCCCTCCGTCCCCTGACTTGTTCCATGTTCCCCCTCATCCCCAGTCCCCAGTTCTTCCCCACTGGATCCGTCTCCCCTCTGATGCTCTTCCTGTCTCTCCCCGTCCTAGTGTCCACCTTATGGTCCTTCGTTTGCGTGCTCCTCCTGTCATAGTCCTCTAGTTGCCTCCCCCGTCGTCGCTCCCGTCGTCCCCCCCTCCTCGCTCTGATGCTGCTTGCACTGCTCGTCCACTTCTCTCGTGCATGCTTGCGTCGCTTGTCACTGACCCTACTGCTCCTCCTGAGTCTGTCTCTGCGCTTGTCGCTGCAATCGCGGACTTTGCTACTAGCCACCGCCTTGACTACACTGCCGCTCTGGTCTCTGGTACTGCCCGTCCTCCGTCCGTCGGGGGTGCACCTGCCCTTGGCAGTGACGTGCTAGAGGACTGGCAGTACGAGTTGGCCTTCCTTGCTGCTGCTGTTCCCCATCTCTGCTTTATGCTTGTATCCCCAGAGGGCGACCCAGGCGCTCTCGACATCCGTGTTCCGCGCTCTTATGCTGAGACGGTGTCGGGGCCCTGGGCAGCCCAGTAGATACAGACCATGGAGGTTGAGATGGCATCCTACAGATCCAGAGGCGCTCACGTCGATGCAGTTCCCCCGCCTGGGGCGAATGTAGTCGATGGTATGTGGATCTACAG